TACCATCTTATTATCAAGAGTATTTTGCATTAGCAAGTCTCCAGATAAATTATTTTTCTCACTGTTCCCACTTATTATTATTATTACTTATTATTAAAATGTTCATGGGGGGGCGCCTGGGTGGCTCAGTGGGTTAAGCCTCTGCCTTCGGCTCAGGTCATGATCTCAGGGTCCTGGGATCGAGCCCCGCATTGGGCTCTCTGCTCAGCAGGGAGCCTGCTTTCCTCCTCTCTCTCTGGGTGCTGCTCTGCCTACTTGTGATCTCTCTCTGTCAAATAAATAAATAAAATCTTTAAAAAAAAAAAAAAAAGTTCATCGATGCCAACACTCGGGAAGACAGTACCCCAAGTTGTATCTACCCAGCCAATTCCAGGTACAAAGGCAAGCACCCCATGCTGCTGGGGCACATGTCCTCCATGTGTGGAGCACCCAGGTGGGTCTCCAAACAAGCAACATCCATTCACGTGTGTGTGCAGACACTGGGTCCCCCAAGGCTCACATACTAAGACTGATATGAGCTATTCTGCTTGTTTTTCCCTCATCTGCCATGCTGATGTGCTTTTCCTGAGGGGCATGGAGGCTGCCCTCAGAGCCTTCAGGGGTCAGACAGGTGAGGTGAGTGGTTGATGAGGCTTCCTAAGACAATGGAAAATGGCGGGAACGTTTCCAAGTGGAGAGGGCTAGCATGATCTCCTTGGGGCAGCCACTGCTCGGCTCCAGAGCACCGGCCATGTTAAATGTTGGCCAGTGAAGGCAGATCACTGCTTTTTCTTTTTTTAAGAAGCCAGAAACCCAGAGTTCTATGTTAAATCTCCAATATTTTTTCCCCCGAAATGCTGGCAACTAATTTTGCTTTTTTTCTGCTCCGTGAGCCAAGCTTTGGCCAAGTCCTACCAGTCTGTGAGCCCGAGCAGAACTTTCCAGGGCAGGCGTTGGGGGAATGGCTGGGCAGAGGACTGGGGTTAAGCGTGAGTGGTACTCTGGCGGCACAGGCTTGTCGTGGCTCTCCAGTCCTCATGGCACCAGATTCATCAGAAGGAAGACATGGCCATTTGTGACCTCAGTGACATCCCCTTTGCTTCATGCTTTGCTGACACAGTCACCTGCTGCTATATGACAGGGGTGTGCAGGAGGGAGGTGGATGGGAGCTCCAACTACTGAAAATACTCGATCATTTCAAAACACAATTATCACCACGAACGCAGCCACAGGATTTTCAGACAGACTTCCTTTCAGCCCCTTTTGTTCAGCCCTCAATCTGGAATACTGGAGGCTGGGTTCCTGGCCAATCAGCATTCTGCACAGACCATTCAGCCCACGGCGGCCAATAGCCCCAACACTACTTGTACGCCGCGGATCTGTTAAGTCAATTTGGCCTTAAACACTGTAGGGGAAAAATTACAGTAGAAGAGAATTTTTATCTGGGCTGAGAGTGTATAGTTAAGTCAACACAATTCTCGCCCATGTGACTCAGAGTAAAGTCATGTAATTCATTTTAGATGAATCCAAATAGATCTAATAAATTCACCCGGCAGATGCCTATTAAAATGAAATATGCTCTTAAGGTTTTCCACAAATGCTGCAGGTTGGAGAAGAGGAGGGTTATACCTTTAGAGTAGTGGTGGATTCTACAAAGGCCCTTTCTCTTCAGGCTCAGAAGAGTGGAAAGTTGAGACGATGAGATGGGAAATCAGGCAGGAGAAGCTGACTTTTGAAGTAAATGTTTTTGCTTAGAATGCTCGTATTGGGACGCCTGGGTGGCTCAGTGGGTTAAGCCTCTGCCTTTGGCTCAGGTCATGCATGATTCCAGGGTCCTCGGATCGAGCCCCGCATCAGGCTCTCTGCTCAGCAGGGAGCCTGCTTCCCTTCCTCTCTCTCTCTGTCTGCCTCTTTGCCTACTTGTGATCTCTGTCAAATAAATAAATAAAATCTTAAAAAAAAAAAAAACAAAAAACAGAATGTTCGTGTTGACAGCCTCCCCACTATCTCATTGCCTGGGTATCTGCTGAAGTCTAAGTCCAGTGGAGCCCAGAGAAGCACAGTTAACAGAGAGGGAAACCAGCAAATGGCTGTAGATGCCCAGAAACACACGGTCTGTGGGTAGCACTGCTCCAAGTCTCAAAAATTCCTTAAACAACCTCTTTAATTGCAACAGCCCAGCTAGCTCCAGAGTCTGAAATTCAGAGGCAAGTGCCTGTTTGTGTTTTGTTCTCCTAAGCTCAAGGCCTGTCTGCATCGCTGCGTCTTAGAGGGAAGACCCAGCCCGCATTCCGTGGAACGGGAAATGACCATGTGACTGAATGGGGATCTCTCCGCGAAATAATCGTTTCAACAAGAAAATATATTGTCTACGTATTTACAAGGGTTGAGCCCAAAGTTGTGTAGGAAGGGAGTAATACATCACAACGCTGGCCGAAGACAACTGTATAAAGTGTTCGTGTGGACGGCCCGCGGTCCTGCTAGAACGCTTGCTTCCTCCCCTATGATGTACATGTTAACAATCTGATGATATGATGATAGAAAGACACATAAAACAGCTATTTTTCCTGGCATGGAGCCCTACTGTAAACCTGGAGATACTTAAATACCCCATCGCAGCCTCAGTCCTGGCTAAGTGTAAGGATTAAAGGATGCACAGAACAGGTTTCTTCTGCGAGCATCGCCCTGCTGGCCAGCTTCTGGGGGTGGAGCACGGTGCGTCTGCCCCATGCCGTCTTGGGAGATACAATAAAATAGCAGGGCTCAGCCTCTTTGGCTTGTAGGGCACGTGTACAAAGACGAATGCCAACTGGGGAAGGCCAAAGACTCAAGTGTCATGTCGAGACAAATTAATCTTTGAAAGTACACGTATATTTCCCAAGATTGAGAACCAGCGTCCTGAGTCTGTTATTCTTCCTTCACCCGCTGCAAATGACCTGAGGTATCTGCTTCTGTATTAGGCTACAATACCGCTCCTGAGCCCTCGGTAAATGTTGCCCCTTCTGCCGGCCCGCTGTAGTTTCTCATCTAACATCTAACAGCTGACTGGGATCTGGTTTATGTCTTGCTTACTCCCGTCACTGATTTCTCCTCTTTAGTGTTCTACTGAACAGAAGCCAGGAGAAACAAACAAGGGGACCTCAAGGCTTCTTCACTTTGGGTTCAGAGTTTCTGCAATAGTAAGAACCAGCAAATCAATGAATGAACAGACGATCACTTTTAACCTGTCTATAAATACATGTTTATGTCTCTGGGTAATGGATTGCCCTGGTGAGCAAGTCATCATTTAAAGCTTAATTTTAATCTCCACACCAGAGATGGAGATACGGAAGGGCTCGGGCTTTTCTCTTTTTCCTCTTTTTCAAGATAAATCAAATTAATTAATGTGTACTTTCCAACTGAAGAAATGATTAAGACCCAGCTGTGTCTGTGAAACTCTAAGTTGCAAAGCTACACTTGGGACTTGTTACTGCTTTTGTTGGCATGAAGAAGAGAGACAAAGGTATCTAATATTAAGTGTTCTCAAAAGTGTAAGTTGGCAGTTTGTTCACCAAATTAACTTTCAAAGATCCCTCACTTACTAAGTCTGACCTTCCTACACACAAATCTTAAACGATCGATGGACTACTGTAAAATAGCTTTGTTCAACAAAGATCATCTTTGGCAGGCTACTTCAAAGGCTTTACCACTCTGGAAAGATGAAAAGGTATCCCCATTTTACATGATTTCCCTTATAGATTAAGACTTATTTGAAATATGTCTGAGAATTATGCGATATTTACTGAATTATGTGCCTTCTTTCCCCGTATTGAGCAGCCCCAATGGGACTGCTTTTATGTCTAAGATTTAGGAGAATTTTCTACACAAAATAGAGCATTTCTAAGAACATATACAGCTGGTCAGAACAGTATATCTGGCATTTTTATTCACTACTATTCCAGTGCAAGGCAGTATTTGAAACTAAAATATACAGAGAGAAATTTTTTTAACCAATACCATTTCAGGGGATGCCTGCGTGGCTCAGTTGGTTAAGTGTCTGACTTCAGCTCAGGTCATGATTGCCAAGTCCTGGGATCAAGCCCCAGGTCAGGCTCCCTGCTTAGCAGAATCTCTGCTTCTCGCTCTGCCCCTCCCAACTCCTGTGCTCACTCTCTCAAATAAATAAAAAAAGTCTTTAAAAAAAAAATAACATTTCAGAATGTGGTTTCAGATTCTCCCTATAGTATTCTTCAGAGTCTAAAAGGATCCATTTCTTTTTTTTTTAAACAAAGATTGTGTGATTTTATTTATGTTTAAGGTCATTCTAGAATTACTATGGAATTATGGAATTATTTCAAAGAAGGGGTGAAGCAAGTAACAGAAATTAACAAGCAGGGTTCATTATGGGGTGTGTGTGTGTGCACGCACGAGCACACGCACATGTAAGCAAGTCTGCCTGTGTGTTGCGGGTGGGGTGTGGTGCCCAAGGAATAGTCACATTTAGGTCAAGAGGTCAGATCTTCTGATTTTTATCAGAAACCTCCTTTTTTTTCCCCCCCAATATTGGCAACCACTTCAAATTTTTTGAAAGAACCGGAGCTGGACAAACAAAACACATCTGGGGGATGGCAGGCTGCCTTAAACCTGCTGAGAAGAAAAGTATTTACATTAAAAAGAAAAAAATGCTTTCTCAGTCATCCACACTTTTTGGAATGCGTTTTCGTGACTGTGAATAGGAACCTATGACGGCCTTAAAATGGCTTTGGACAGAGGAACTAACAAGGTTCTGGGTCCTGTGTTCCAGGAGCAGCTTTGTGAAAGGGCTCTGATGCGCCAGGAAGGAGGCTGCCATGGGTAACAGATACAGGTTTCTAATATAAAACAGTAATCCGTGAATTCACAAATGAAAAGATATGAAACAGAGACCCCTTTTCTCTTAAATTTATCTTCAAGGTCATTTCATTTTATGGAGGTGAACACAGCTGACTTGCCAAAAATATGTATATATATATTTAATAATATCCTTCTTTGCTCTCTGGCAGGGTGAAGTAGAGAAATAAAGTCTCCCCGCTGAACTACTATGAGGTCAGAAGCCTTGCTGCTATATTTCACACTGCTACACTTCGCTGGAGCTGGCTTCCCAGAAGATTCTGAGCCAATCAGTATTTCGCATGGCAACTGTAAGTACCCGCGATTATCACTGTCATTCACTCCTTCTGTGGGCATTTTAGGCTGCATCACCCAGCAAAACACCCACCTTTTCTAAAACTTAATAAAACAGGAGACTTGCCAGTAGACAACAGCAGGGTCTCATCAAATTGGGGAGATGGCTGTTCTGTAACTCAGTGAAATACTGTTGGGGCGACCCCTGTGTGAACATATGTGTGAGGATCTGAAACGTTCCTCAAGTCCCTCTGATGACGTGTCCGGCCACGACAAGGAGGCCATCCTCGATCGTGCCCGGAAACCAGGAGTGGGAGAGTATCACTACCATGTGGGTATTGCCCGGAGCATGCCTTCTCACGTGTGGTTAACATGTGGGCACTGTTACAAGATGAGAACAAGAAAAAACACTAATTCCTTCTTTTAGATTTAGAGGTAAAAACTTTGCTGGACTTCGGATTCACAGAGGACCTATTTTAACTATTTATAACTGTCTTTTGGTCTCTGCTTCACTGTGAAGGGTAGAAAGCCATGTGATTAAGAGTTCAGGTGACTATTCAAGAGGAAAAGTCCCACCTGCACGTGGGACCCAACAGCCCATGTACTACTTCCTTCCCTTCCCTCCAAAAGACAAAGTGTTTTATCGTAATAAAGGTGAAAGGGAGCCCTTTCACCCAAATATCCATTTTCCCCATAGCCATCCCAAAACAAACACTGAACAGACCCTAAGGAAAGTATTTAGCTATAGGGGATATGAAGGAGAACCATCAGTGTGTGGCTTTCTGCTGGACAGTCCCTGAAAAGGGAAAGAATTTCATGAAAGTGAGCTGGCAGGACTTGGCACAGAAGACAATGAGTGCACAAAAGTCAGGGCATGCTTAAGGACCAAACTGTGTAGTTCAAAATGACTGAAGAGGCAGTCCACCTGACTCAAGGCACCAAATCTTCATACGCATTTATTAATCCCCATTTGGGATAGGTATTCGATCTCTGCTGCCCCTGTAAAGGAGAGTCCCCAGCCCAAATATGCTGCTGAAAATGGAAATGTCAGTGGACACTCAAATCCTTGACAGTAGAGGGACACGAACTATCTTAGCAAGCTCTTGGATGAATGGGTAAATGAAACTTCCGAGGGTGCAGGGGAACGCACAAGATAATCCCATACCAAGCTTGACTGTGAGTCAAATACACCAAGGCTCTCGGATACCCACTGTGAGTAATGCTCGGAGACTCTGGGGGATTCCAGTGTTGGGGTCTGAGCATGAATCTGTGAATGGGTTTCAAGCCATTATTTACAACCCACCCCAAAAAACATTTTTAAATATGACTCATCCTTCTTTCCTTCTGAGTTTCTCTGGAGGATTGCCAGTGCTCTGGAGAGTGTAGGTTTAAAGGCAGAGAGATTTTTGAAATGTAGGTATTTCTAAAGGTCAGATATTATTACAAATTGCCCGCTCTCAGCTCAAGAGAACAGGAGGAAAGCAGAAATATGTTCATTGACGGATCTCCAAGTCAGGGAAAATTCCAGATCACCCGACTGGCTACACTCCGTTTGACCCTGTCCTGTCAAAGCCCCCGCTTCTGTGAGATTAGCCAATTGCTTAACTCAAGAGTGAACTTCCCACAGTTCCTAGAATGCCAACCAACGTAGCGGGGCTGCCTTCAATAGTAGATTATTCCAACTGGACGCCTGTGGAGACTGTATTTTTCTTCTGGCTCCTGGATGAGGGTTCTCGCCTCCAGACCACATTGCCTTTGTGGTGATTGATGGGAAAGCTGCTTTGAAATAGTTTTGTCCGGAGACAAGATCTTTGGCAGGCTGCCCCTCAGGCTTAGCACTCTAAAGAAGATGAAAAGAAAACTGGAAGAAAAGAGCACCTTCATGTAAAGGGTTCACTTGCAAGTTTAACCCCCCAAAAGAGGGGCAAGTCAGAAATTGTGACACCGAGAAACAGAAGTCTGGGCTGATTATCATCTGGAAATGAAACTGTAACTTGATCGTCCTCACAGAGCACCCATCTATCACAGACTTTCCTAAAATAACAAGACTCCTTGGATAGGGAAAGGGGTGGCATGGATTGACTTAAATATGGTTTTGTTTGGGGGCCAGGCCCCTCCCCTCCCTGCCCTGTCAATTCCTGGCTTGATTTCCTCTCCCTCTCTTGCCCCATCTCTTCTTTTCACAGATACAAAACAGTATCCGGTGTTTGTGGGCCACAAGCCAGGACGGAACACCACACAGAGGCACCGACTGGACATCCAGATGATTATGACCATGAACAGAACCCTCTACGTTGCTGCTAGGTGAGTGGCCTTTCCCTCATGTCTGCCTGAAGAACGTCTGGAGGGCTCAGATCTGAACATACCCGTGATGCACCATTTTAAAGACCATGACGTTCCCAAACAACGCGCTGCTGAGCTTAAAAAGGCTACTTTTGTTGGTCAATCATGCTTTCAAGATTTTCTGTGTCTGTTTAACTACAGGTGGGTTTAGATGGAAGTGTTTGCATACGCTAGAGCTTAGACTTAAATAATCCACTGTTTGTCTTGAACATATATGCAAATAGCTAATCGCGCAACCAGGAGAGCACTTCTGTCCTTGATACTTGTTAAATTAACCCGAATGTGTAAACATGTATTATCCAGTGTGTATGTAAGTGTAATAGTCACTTTGTAGTGAGTTTGTAGTATATATCATTACTGCAATAGAACGACAGTAGCACCAGTTTTAAAAGAGTTTTTAATTTGGATCTAGTTAACAAAATACTCAACCACTGGGTAATGTCATTTAAACAGACCGCGTCTTAAGGGCCAAATAGCATAGCAAGAAAACAGCCCATACAGGGCTCATACGGATTTAGGCTTTTGTCTTAATTCTATTCTTCATTAACCTGGACCACAGCCTCTCTGGCCATGATGTGTCCTCTCTCAAATGAGACGTCAGATTATTTTAAGAAGTCCCTTGGGGTTTTAACAATGGATGATCCCCAATCTTGGAGGTGCCTAGTTCATTCAAAAAAATTCTAAATGAAAAGCGACAAGGAACACTATCTTGTGGGGCTCCACAGTGATCTTCACCTGGGTCCACACCGAGTAATCACTGCACAGTGGGAAGAAGAAACAGAGATTATGTCCGTGATACCTGCATGGCTGTGAGTGTGGATAAGGAACGGGTCAATAAGAGCAGTGGTTCATTCTTCTAAAGCACTTAGGTGTTCTCAAACGAAAAGCTATGCGACATCAACCAAAAACCGATGGCCACATTACAATATCCTGCGAGTACCCCACAACATGTCCCAGGGAGCAATGCCGAAGCCCTTTCCAACAACTGTACTTCACAAATACGTACATGTTACATATTAGTTGTATGTGCCGTGTAAGTTCTTTACAAATGTTCGTTCATTCAATCCTGGAAAAGAACCCTAGTTCAGTGAAGGAGCTATTATCTCCCCGTCTTACAGGAAGAAACCCAGAGAGAGGAAGGGGAAATGCCTGGGACCAAAATGACAAAGGCAGGATTTGAAGTGGGGTGGCCTTGCTCTAGAAGCTGGGCATTGACTCCCAGTACTGGGCAGCCTGCTGGAGGAGGAGAGCTGGGACCACTGGTCCTGGCAGTAACTTTCTCCCAGCTTCTGCGCAAGAACATAGCCAGCGTGGGTATTCCTCAGCTGCAATGAGGTCCTCAGTAGGTGACCCTCTGGTAGAAGAGTAGGTCCTTCTTTCTTTTTTGGGGGAGGGCCTACAATTTTATTTAATTATCTGACAGAGAGGCATGAGTGGGGGTAGGAGCTGAGAGAGAAGCAGGCTCCCCGATAAACAGGGAGCCCAGTACGGGACTCGATCCCAGGACCCTGGGATCACGACCTGAGCTGAAAGCAGCCACTTAATGACTGAGCCACCCAGGCACCCCCATCAGTTCCTTCTTAAATATCATTTTTGGATTCCTAAATGTAGCAGCACTGGAAGATTACACGTGTAGTCGATTGTCTATAGGCTGGTCAAAACAAATGATTCAACACTGGATCTATGAAATAGGCTGAGTCAAGAATCTTCTATGAATGATTCAGCCTGCCATTCAGTCTTTAAGGGGGAAAACAGGATAACAGACGACCCTCGTACCTGATGATTTAGTGCGGGTGTGGACTGCAGGTCCAGGGTGGCCCCTGAGTCAGGAGCAAAGTGCTGTGTAAACTTAAAAAGTGACAGTTATTACAGCTCGTTAAAACCCAGACAGTGTTATCCTCCCCGTGCCCCCCTGCCAAAAGGAGAAACGTAAGGGGGAAAAAGGAGAGAAACACATTCATTTTTTCAAAACTAAAAAATGAACAGACCTGCCGAGGTCAGAACGGACCTGCCTTTCATAAAGGTCAAATTTGTAAGACCCCTGCACTGACCTATCGGTTTCCATTCTACACACAGCAACCTGCCTTTAGTACCCACCCTTGGGAAAACTCCTGATCACTATGGTCAGGGTATCTCCCCTGCCTTTTCCGAGCACAGCCCAGAGATATCCCAGTTCCTGGGCAGCAAGTGACACGATGTGAAGTCCAGTCCTTCCCCCAGGCTCAAACCACGGCAACACAATTCAGTTTTGCTCACTACAGGGGGGGGAAGAGGGAAATCCTCAGACTAAGTCAATTTGTGTTCAAATAACTGAATTCAGAAGCTTATGAATCCTGGGATGAACACACGGACAGGAGGGAATAAGCGCCCACCACGGCCTTAGGTTTAGCATAAAGTGTGCTTTCTGTTTGCTAGGTAGTGTGCTCTCTTGGATACTGAAAAAGACTGCAGTGGTCCAAAAGACTTCATTCACAGAATTCTATTTTTAAAAATAGGCTTCCTGATTCTTGTAGACAGCTGGTGTCAGTCAGTCATCAGAAGCCAAGTCCCATCCAGAACCCAGAGACTGAGTGAGCCTTGATGGCAGGGACCCTTCCATTCTACCTTATTACTATCCACTTTGAAAATTCTTTTTTGTTGTTGTGTAATCTCCAAACTGCTAATTAACATGAACAGGCCATGCCAGAAGGGGGCAATCCCAGAGCTTTCAGAGGACTTGCCAGTGCATATTAATCAGCTGTTAATTTACAATTCATATGTTCTGCTCCTACTTGAAGTTTTCAGGGGAGGAAGGACAAGGAAAAACCTAGAGTCATCTCAAACCTGATACCAAAGTAATAGGCAATTCCATCCCAATAATGAGCCTGACCCACAGCACCACCAATAAAGTCAAACAAGTAATAAACGAATGCAATAAAACTGCCTTGAAATTAAAGGGCAGGGTGATTCTGGCACCCTACTGAGATTCCAAGAACTTCCCAATTCAGCAATTTACAAAAACAGGCTCACCATTCTCCCCCTCACCACCCTGAGAGAGAGAGAGAGAGAGAGAGACAGACAGACAGACACACACACACACACACACACACACACACGGCTCAAAGGCTCACAGTTGCAAGGAAATTCTGTAAGCCAATTAATTGCCTTGCCCCCAACTTTTATTTTCACATGAGAAAGCCTGTTTGTATTTCTGTTTTTCTCTGTTGTACTTTTCCTAAAAGCAGTAGCAGATCTCCAAAGAAGGTGTGGGGAGGGGGAATTAAAGGGAATCCTGACAGCAGATCATTCCTTTCTTTTTTTTTTTTTTTTCCTTCCCCACTCTCTCCACTTTCTCTTAAGTAATGAGGTGCCCCAAAAGTACATGGGAGCCTTGAGGTCCTGGTTAAAAGCTGTGGGTAATTTTCCAGCCCCAGGACTTCCTGCGTTTTAGAAAAAGTCAATGTTATTTCAAGGGAAAATGAGCTGTTTTGCTTTCCCTCACTAGCCCCCCATCTCCTCAGTTGAGTGAGTTCTTTTCTTTTCTTTCTTCTGAATCCCAGACAAAAACGCCCTTGTACTCAGCTCACACAGAAGGGGATGTTTAAATATAGCCCCACACCTGAGCTGCTGATTCTGTTTCTTCCCTTCCAGGGGGAGATTGGCAGCAGATCGTAAAGGCAACCAGATTCTCAGCAGAACAGGAAGGTGAACAGAAGCAAGAAATGTAAACTTTAGCTCAAGCACATTTTAGACCTTAATTGACCATCACTATGTGAAGAAAACAGTGCTTTCTGGAAATAATTTCACCTTTATCATCTCCCCTCTTGTCAATCACATCATCAAAGCTAAGGCCGGAAAGAAGTTTCGTACGGGGAGAAACAGCCGGAGATGAGCTCTTTGTTAGCTCCCATGATGAAGGAAGGTGGTCTGTTAAATACCAAGTATTTGGTACATGGATTGGAAGATACTGAAAGGGCGTGGGGAAACCCACCTGTGTTCTGGGTTTTGGGACAGTTTCACTTTCAAAGTCCTCTCTCCTGAACTACATACATACAGAGATTGTAGTACTGGTATGAGGGAGACAACAGCAAAGTTTTCATAAAAAACTTTCATCTCAGCAAGATGCCACAACTTGTTGGAAGTAGCAAAGTGTGATCGAGGGGTATCTCTTGCAAGCTGAACTGCTCCCTTTTTCTTGCATGCGGAGGTCTCTTTTCTAATGACGTGGATATGGATTTATTTGCCTTGAATGAGACAGACACGCATTCAGGAGAAAATGAACTATCCTGACTCCTGTATCTGACACTGTATCAATTTCTCATTGTTTACAGGGACCACGTTTATACTGTTGATATGGACACCTCACACACGGAAGAAATCTATTGTAGCAAAGTAAGTAGTTATAAAACCATCTTTCTAAAATGAAGGGGTTTCGGATAGCTCTAGAAGGGATTACGTATTTGAAATGCACTGAGTGAGATGACATAGCGAATAATTTGGAATAATTTGGAACTTTTTTTTTTTTTTTTGTGGTCCTACTAACGTGGGGTGAATCCGTGTCTGAAAACAGCTATCTACTTCAAAGTTTATTCACCAAATATGTGTGCCTGTGTCCTCTGGAGTTTTAGGTCACTTACAAATTCCTTTAAAAAAATAATACCATGTTTGTCCAGGAAAATAACAGTTTTCATATGTAAAATTTTGCCCCACAAATGTTTCAATGTTATGTTTCCACGTCTTGCAGTATTAAGTTTGATTTGCCTGTTGTGGCTCAGGAATCTAATCATTAACCACTTCAGAAAGACATAAAATATAACTTAAGCTTCCCCTGTAACTCCACATGGAGGAATTTTAGTTAATAAAATCTGCCACAGAAGTAGACGATCCCTTCAGTCCATGAATTTACGTGGAGTGGAACCTGAATTAAACCTTTGTCCACCGAAAGTGAATGTCCCCTTTATGTTTAAGTAAATGACTTCCATATTTTAAGGGAAAAAGCGTGCTTTATGAAAACTGATTTATCAACTGAAAGGAAAGGGCAAGGACATGTAGTTCATCAAAATGAGCATCGTTTAGCAAGTTGATTTGGATATTTTATGAGAAATTTCCATGCCGTTGTTTGTTCTTTTTTCCTTTTCTCCTTCATCTTTATCTCAAGGAGAAGAAGCTCATTCTGTAGTTTAATGAATAGATAGGAGTTAAAATTAAATGAACGGTTCCCATCTCCGATCTTTTGTTGTTATGGTGAATTAATCATGGAGAAAGGGTGCGGAAAGCTTTCAATAAATATATGTTCAGCCACCATCTCCCCAAGGGAACTCTTACTTCTAAAATCAAATGCAAGAACCTCTAGGCTCTAATTGATTTCTTTCTTGATCCCCGCAGAAACTGACATGGAAATCTAGACAGGCTGATGTAGACACATGCAGAATGAAGGGAAAACATAAGGTAGGCAATTTTCATTCCTCCTGCAGCTGCCACTTTGGGTTAAGTTTTTGACGGTTATCTCCGGCCGTAGACCGTGATGTGGAATGGATCGTGCTAGTCCCTTTTCCCCCAGTAATTGCTTTTTCCATCTACTTATTGAAGGCTTTAATTTGCAAAAACAGTTTGCTTTTAATGTGATGAAATATTACGACAGCTGCTAGGGCTGCATCATGAACTACTTAGGGGCACAAGGGATTATGGACATCAAGCCCGCTGCCCCAGCTCTCCTGAGCGTACTCGCCAGTAGCCGGCCGCACAGACCTGAGTCCTTGGGGAGGGTGAGGAAAAGCTCAGAACAGAGCTGCGCAGACAGACAGTGGTTTGTACCTTGAGTCCCAGAACAGCATAAAAACACATTTCAGCCAGGAGCCTTGCCCAGCAAGGGACCTTGGGACATCTGGCGTTAAAATTAATACAGTGGGAGGTTGGCACTTGTACGCTCGTTCTCTCTACCCTGTACTTTTAGTTACTGTTAAAAAAAAAAAAAAAAAAAAAGGCGTTGTTGTCCACGTCATTTTTTGGTTAAACATCAGGAGGCGCTCGAATTCTTAACAGGGGAACTCTTTAACCTTACCGTCAGCAGATGGTGGGAGACGGGGAAGGATGGATTTCTCTATTGGCAGACTGAATACAAAAGAGTTTGAATTATTTTTCAGGATGAGTGTCACAACTTTATTAAAGTTCTTCTAAAGAAAAACGACGATACTTTGTTTGTCTGTGGAACGAATGCCTTCAACCCTTCCTGCAGAAACTATAAGGTAAGTGCGGTTTTGTCTGCTGGAACCACACGGGCCGGAGGTATTCCGCGATTTACTGTGAGTCTACCTGCAGCGACCTAAGAGGGGTAATTCAACACCATCTGGGTTCCTCTCACCCACTGGACTTAATGTACTGCTCCACATGAGTGATTCTGAGCAGGCCCCTAAGCTTCCTGTTTGTGCAGGACTGACTGACACATCTTTAAGGAGCCTTCCCAGCAAAGTTCGTTTCTCTAAGACCCTATTCTTCATTGTTCCGAGTGCCAACAGACTTTTGCATGTACACCATGTGGCCTTCCTCTCTCTCCCTCCCACCTTCTCCCTCCCACCTCACCATCCTCTCTGAGCACAAAAACACACACCAGTGCAAACTGTGGGCTTTCTTCTAGGAGAGACTTCTAAGAATGCAGAAGTTTAATTCCATTTAGTACTCGCCACTGTGGCCTTTATGCAAGGGAAAGCAAAATTAAGTCTCGGAGCATTAACAGATCAAGTTAGTTCTGAGCGGCGGACAGAGGCGCTGCTGAAGCAGCCCCACCTCTGTTCGCTCCCCTTGCCCGTCCTTCCCGCCGCAGCCCTTCTTCCCGCACACACGTACTACTGTGTTCCTCGTGTGGCCAGGCACTGAGGCTGTAAGGACAAAGAGGGGGCCTCCATCCTTAGGGAAGCCACACAGGGAGAAGAAAACTATAATTCCATGAGGGGCAGAGCATTATGGAAGAACAACGGAAAGGGGCTCACCTTAGCCTGAGGTGGAGAATCAGAGAAGGCTTCCAGAAGGGGGCAGATGACCCCACTCTGGAGATGCTCCCTGCAGCAGTTCTCACATAGGGAACATGAACGCACCCAGCCCGGGAGACACCCTCAAACTCCACGACCGTCCAGAGCCTGACCCAGTGCCTCCCAACACGTGCTCTGTTCATTTGTGTGGGGTAACAGGGACTGAGGCGCCTAACCTTTGTTTTAAAGTAGACCTTGGCCAAAGGAAGAGAGGAGGACATTCCAGGCAGGGGGACGGCAGGAATAAAAGCACTGAGTAAGAAACAGTCTGTTGAGCTTGAGAAACTTCCTGTGGGTCTAAGTGCTGGACTCTGAAGGGACACGTAGTACCAGCAGAGACTGGGGAGGTAGGTGCCCCCTAGGGACGAAGGGAGAAGAACAGATTCGCGAACTACTCAAGGGACAAAAACCAGTAGGACGTCATAACGGATAAGCAGTCCAGGATAAGGAGAGAGAGGGGGTAAGAATGACTGCTGTGCTTGCTCCTGGGGAAGTGGATGGATGGAGCTGCCCACACTGGGACCATGAGGAAGAGCAAAAGAGCACTGGGGCTGGGAGCAGGTTGTCAGAAGGTGGGGCTTGGGTTCCCGCTCAGTCAAGACACTCAGCCCTGTGGACAGCACTGCCTGGGAGATGTGAACGGGCAGAGCTAACAAGAAGATGGATGGGTAAGCCTTGATTTAGGGAGAGACGTGGAGAGAAATACACATTTGGGTATCACCGGCGTAAAGTGAAGCCCCAGGGTGTAAAGAATGCAAAGAGAAATGATGGGCTGATATCCAAAGCAACGTTTCGTGGGACAGTTTTAAAAGACCCTCAGCCTGGGCAGGCGCCTGGGTGGCTCAGTGGGTTAAATCCTCTGCCTTCGGCTCAAGTCATGGTCTCAGGGTCCTGGGACTGAGCCCCGTATCCGGCTCTCTGCTCAGCGGGGAGCCTGCTTCCTCCTCTCTCTCTGCCTGCCTCTCTGCCTGCTTGTGATCTCTCTCTCTGTGTCAAATAAATAAATACAATCATTTTTTAAAATTAGGGGGGAAAAAAGACCCTCAGCCTTCACACAGACATCAGAGGGAGGCTCTGCCTTATTAACCTCGCGCTCGACTTCCATCTGACACTTAGAAATGGGCACCTGCAGGGGAGCGATTAGGGTGAGGCAAGGGAGGCATTCACCCCAGGCACAAAACGTAGGGGACCCACTAAAAATATTCAGTGGCAAGGTAAGGTAAGTGATAATTCTGAAAAATCTAAATTAATGTAAAAAACACTGTCCTAAAACAGCAAACTTTCTAATGACAATAGGACCCGTTCAGCCTGCAGCAGGCAGTGAGTGCAAACGTTCCCTCTGGCCAGTGACAGCTGACATTCTGACTCTCATTCTCCCACTTAATATTCCAGCCCCGTTTGTCATTGTTTAGGACTCATTAAGATTAATGCTCTTCACAATTCCCACCCAATTCCCTAGCTGGAAAGCTGTCTTTTATGACAAATGACAGGTTTTCTTGGCACTGTGACACACAGACCAGGAGTGGTCTCGCTCATTCTCGCCACACACGTTCTGTTCCCCGGGACGCCTCACCTGTGGCGAGACCGTCACCTCTCCCTTGTTCTAGCCACACCTGCTGGGACCTGCTCGGAAGCCTGGGCCTCTCAGAAACCACACATGGGACGCTCTTCCCCGCACAGTCCTGTCTGCCTTGGCAGTGCTCAGAGAAGTGTGTTTTCAGACTCAGGGCACAGCAGGCTTTGTTGACGGTAGAAGACAAGAATGTACTTGGCTGCAGGAAGACCGGACAGACTGTCTTAAGCACCTTTTATGAACAGATCAGGACTACGGGTTCAAAGCAAAAACAATGGCCCATCTTTCCCCCCCACCCCCGCCAAAAACCCAAACCCAAGTCTCTTAGCACAGAGGCATCCAATGGATTATACTAACTTGAAGCAGGACGGTGACAAATTTTTGGTAGCCACCTCTGCACTATGCCCCAGTTTGTACAGTTTTAAAACAGAAGTAAGCCGAATGTATCAGAAAGATTACAGGCCCCAAATAAGATTACCTGGGGAAGCACTCTGCAGGCCACCCACTATAAACCCAAAACTATACTCCATGTCTTTCCCCTCCCGCTCTCTAAACCTCTTCAACTTGTGCAGGAAGTCAGGCTGGTTCTTAGTATAATTACCTGTACCCTATGGTGATTTAATTTCCAGGGGCTGCTGTTAAGTCTAAGATTTGGAGACTACCACAAGGATTAGTTCTAACTTCATGGAAAGAGGATTTCACCATGGCATTGTTTTGTCTCTGGACCTTTCCAGACTCATAAACCGAAACATTAATACTTCACTGCTTCTTGCCTTTGACTTGCTATAGCTATGACTCCCTTTTTTTTTAGAAGTAGGCACACTTAATAACATAAATCCCCCCTTGTCTACGGTCTCCCCATTGCCAGTTTTACAGCACGCATGGGTGGGGGAAAAGGCATTTCCAGTGCATCACTGTGGACTAAGCATTACTTCTGGATGCTTGCCAGACCCACAGACCACAAAGTCTGTCACAGTTCAACACGATGCTATTTTTGGGATAAAAAAAATTAGAAAAATTTTTAAAAACCTAACCTTTCCTAACTGCGCTGAGGGGAGAAGAGTACATTTAAAGGTTATCTCACCTGAACATCTTTCCCCTAAATATATGTGTTTTTACTACAACTGCTTTTGGGATTGTGAACAAGTTTGAGCAGACAGGACGGGCTTTAATAGGAGCTATCTCTGAGCAGTTGAGAAGACAGAACCTCTGCTGTCTCCCTGAAACAGTTTCCTGGGGCTTGAGGGCAAAAAACACAACTGGACACCACTCCCAGCTGCTCAGGAAGCACCTCGCTCCTCCCGCACGACGAGTCCGTATACTGTGATTTAAGGGTCCCTGACTCAGTGCCTTTCAGCGGGTCGTCCCTGGGCAATTGCACTGTCTCAGGCTTCTCTTCTCCCAGCTCTGTATCTGTGGCCCCGTAGTCAAAGCAGGCAACCGCCAGAGGTAAACAAGATACCTCCCACTACAGAAAAAAGACTGAGCCACAGAGGGTTATAAAAACAAGAACGACGTGGAGGAGGTAACTGTGCGGACTCTGGTACTGAGCTATAAATGCTAGGGAGATCCCACGGTGTCAGGAGAAAGACCACAGGGCAGGAGGCAGAGACCACCGAATCACTGGCCAAGGTGCACCGACCTCTGACGGAGGCCAGGGGCTGGCCCGGAAAACTTTTCTCTCCTGCTCAGGTCAGTGACGGAGGCTCTGCTCCACTAGGTTATGCGGAAGGCTAAACTTCATCCTGCTCCTACCTCGGCCATCTCCTAGGATCTTGGGATTCTGGACTGGATCCTTTGTATCTAGCAGGGCAGAATACAGAGACCCGGAGTAGAGGACACTGGAAGGTTTTCAGAGGCAAGACCTAGAGGGGGCACACAGCCTCCCCCCGCCTACATTCTATGGGCCAGAGCTCATTCTGTGAGCACACCTAACCACAAGGGAGGGTGGGAAATGGAGTTCCGTGTGCCGTGGAGGAAAGGGAAATAGAATTCGGTGAGGCTTTAGCATACCCGCAAACCCTAGGAAGCTAGGTGGGTAACTTGCAGAAGCAAGACAAGCAGGGCGTGCTCACATTCTGTGAGCAAAGAGACCTTGGTGCTGAGGTCTAGGTGCCTGTTGGAAGAAAACGGCAGGGGGGGCGTTACTTCTCTTATAGCTGGTTGCTGCCACTTGGGTAAGAAAGGCTTGAGGTGACTTTTCCACTTGCTCAAAAATAAGAAATCGGGTTTCATTTACAATCTCGTTTTAAAATAGAGCTCAGTTTTTCTTTTTTCATTCCTTTTCTCCTCTTTCTCTCTCTCCCTCCCCTTCCCTACTTCTTTCTTTCCATACTAAGATGGCCAAACAAAACTCAGCAACAGACCCGTCAGAACCCTCTGCGTGCAGGGACAAGGCCTGGGGTGAGCACACATGTGGGTGTCAAACGGCAGCCCCACTCCTGACTGCCGCTGACTTGTGTGAGCCCCTCATCTTCTGGACCTTTCCTTCTCATCTATACGACTGGAGGGTGGGACAGGTTTCTGAAGTTGGTGCAAAGAGCCAACCAGAGCTCCACTTGCATCAATGTTTCTGTGCCTCTCCTGACGCCATCCTCTTCTGCCAGCTAGCCAGAGGAAGAATTCCAGTACTTCTACTGGGATTTAACCCACAAAGGCAGGGCTCCTCAGGCAAAACAAAACCAAAGACTGAGATCATTCTCTAGAGTTTATGACTCAACATTTAATTCAGAGGCAGTGGGGGAGGAAAGGAGGAAGTTTTTTGTTTTTTTTTTTTCCCCCCAGTGGTTGCCTTAAAAATTCCTTTTCCAAGGAAAAGACGTTTATTTCTAGGCCGTTCCTAAAGGATATGGGAAGCTATTGACTCTAACAGTTAAGAGTCGAGGAAACATGACTGAGTCTCAGGCTCTCTCCTAGCTGCTGAACCTCAGACAAGTGACTTCATCTCTCTGAAGCTGTTTCCACACCTGAAACCAACAGACTTATCTCAGGGGATTTGAGGATCCTTTGCACTATGTGTACGAATGAGTTTGAATATTAAGTGACTTATAGGTATTTGTTGCTCTGACTACTGTTGGTTATTACTGTTCCTAATGAAGTCCCATTATTTCGTTTAGATGGATACTCTGGAACCTTCTGGAGATGAATTCAGTGGAATGGCCAGATGCCCATATGATGCCAAACATGCCAACGTCGCACTGTTTGCAGGTAAACGACGTGATTTCCTCTTGTTGCATCTGCTCTCACATGCCTGTCTCTGCAGGTCCCCTGGAGGATTCGTGCAGTCATGGCGGTCCTCTGATTCTCTGGGGAATACTGTAATTAACAGCGCCTTTTCCATTTGAAATTCGCATGGAAATTGTACTTCTGCTTCTACAAGGAGTGTCCACCACCCCATGCCTGTGTGCCTCAGAAAAGGATCACGGCTTCACACTCAGTGTGTGACACATTGTGTAGGGCATGTTTGGGTTCAAATAATCAAAGATCCCCCCTTGAACGGCCAATGCAGATTGATTATTCAAGGTGGGATAGACTTCGGGGCTGGTATGATTCAGTGGCTCAGTGCCGTGATCTGGGACACAGGGCCTTTTCATGTCTCTGCTCTTTCAGTTCTTCCTTGGAGAGGGAGGGACTGTTCTCACAGAATGTGGGTTCTTGTCCACACATAGAAGGGGAAAGGGAGGAGGCAAGGTAAAGCTGCAGGAAGATGTCCAAGCAGGGACTCCATAAGCCCGCAAGTTTCCAGCAGACACCTCAAATACCACTGACCTGATTAGGGTGTGTGCTTCTCTCCGATGGAAAGATAATGGGGAGGGGTGCATATTCCTCATCCTCTCCCCTTGTCTCCCCTGCCAAGGGTAGAAAGCAACAGCAACTAAGCCATTATCTTCAGATTGGGATTCTCATGCATATGAGCGTGTGTGTGTGTGCACGTGTGTGTTTTAATTAGGAATTTATTTAGGAATTCATTGCCAGCTGCACGAAGGTGGGTGCGGGGAGAAGTGTTGGTATAATAGTGGTGGTTATAGCATGTAATAAAGCAGTTAGCTGTAATTTCCATCACAACAGCTCAAAACTGGCACATCCCAGCTCGATGGGAAACTTTAGGGCTTCCATTATGAAACAAGCTCAGCTCCCTGAACCTCATCCTCAGTGCCATGCGCTTGTGAGCCTCAGGCTGCAGGCCCAGGGTGGGGAAATGGCTTGTGCCAAGAAGGGCTCCTCAGGCTTTTTCCCCACTAGTAGCGTGCAGTATCAGGAGGACGCGTGACACTGTAGAAGAGTCTTGTAAACCCGTCAGTCAGCGTGGGCAGGAGCAAAGCCAGAGCAGAGAGTACCCAAGTGCGTAACTTCTGCTACAGCCCCTCCCTGACACTTGAACCTGCTGGGCCCCTGGAGGATGTGGGCTGCCATGTAGGAGTTAACTGTCAACCGAAGGGGGTGGGAGCATCCGAGGAGTGGCTGAGGTCACCAGCCTTCCAGGAACCTTCCAGGACTCCATGGAGCAAGCCCCGTGAGCAACAGGCAACACTCCCAATACTCCTACTCCCCCGACAAGCGTACCTGGGGGGCTCTTCACTGGACTGCTGGAAATCTCATGAAAGCCCAGCCCTTATTAATAGAAGATCCTTGTTGCAAGGAAAATGGTTGTCATCTTAGCAAGAGGGGCAGAACAGTGCTCTGTGTTACAAGTAAAAGTTCTGGTGACACAGCCAATGCTGAATGCAAAACGGAAAGCATAACGGAAAGCGGACGGAAAATACACACATAAACACACACACGTGGCCGCACACACGCTGGCCCCCACTACCCGGCATACCCGCACGACCTGGGGCTCTGATCGATTCTTGAAGAAAAGCTGTGATTTTTGTAGACGTGTGCTTATCAATAGCTAGGTTTGCCCTCTGCGGGTCCGATCTAACCAGTCAGCACGTTATTGATAGACAGCTGTTAACGATGCAGATGTTCAAGACGGCTCTACCTCCAACCTCAGCAAATTTCAGTTATTTTTAGACCAAAGGGAGACATGGAGAACTTTGCTGAGATCCGTTGGGATAAACTTTTCTAAAAAAACATGATGCTTATCCCGCCAGCGGGAGAGCTGAAACGGTGCCGCCGTGTATGTAAGCCACGTGGACACAAAGCCGATGAAGGCATCCACTAAAAATGAACCACGGAAGGACTTTTTTATTTTGAACGTAATTACTGTTTCTGTCTCACAACCTGCGTAGATTTTACTATTCCACAAGATCCTACTGGATTATTTGTATGCAGCATGTTTATGAATCCAGGAAGAGAACCAAAAGCATTAGGGATTAATCTTCAACTTTCCTCATGCTCTTCTGCCTTGGATAGACCTTTAAAGCCCATCTCCCAAAAGCCATGAGTTCTCAAACAAAGGCCAGGCTGAACTGGGGCATCCCTTCCCCTTTTTTCCTTGCTTTGGTATCTTCAGTGTCAGAATGTTTTCGATTGAGGACTTTGAAACACTGATGTAAGTATCTCTTCTTGAAGCTCCATGGGCAGGGCTCCGTGACTCTCGAGACTGAAGTAAAGAGAAGCAGCGAGTCTCACGATCAAAGTCCCAATTCAGCCACTTCTTTTTGCTTCTGAAACCCCTCTCTCTGACTCACCGCACCTGCTCAGGCTAAGGACTCCCATCACTTCTCATACTTCACATTTCTGGTGATACTGTCAGTTTCTGTCTTTCCCCGGGCTCCCACCTAATCCAGCGGGCCGCGGCGTGGTGGCAACAACAGCGTCCAGGGGCCCTCGGCCTTGAGATTCCAGCCAAGGTCCATCTCATCAAGTGAAGCAAACAACATTTTTCATTTGCCCTGTTCCCTGAGCTGCTGCTGCTCAGAAATTGCCATGCAATTTAAAAATGAAAAATGTTTCATCTCTCAAGATCCTAATTTAAAATGGTTAGGAATGCGGGCCAAGTATTTTCCCAGCGACTCTTGGATTTTTCCCAGTTGTCCTATTCATTTGCCTGATGTAGGAAAGCCGTCCGGGGGATGTCTCTATTATTCCCCCCACACCCACTGCCTTGTTCCCACCCTGCTCACCTCTTTTCTGTTTCTTCTAAGATGGAAAACTATACTCAGCCACAGTGACTGACTTCCTTGCCATCGACGCAGTCATTTACCGGAGTCTTGGAGACAGCCCAACCCTACGGACCGTCAAACATGATTCCAAATGGTTGAAAGGTGAACAAATAATTAAGAGAAGCGGGGGGTGGGGGTGGGGGGATGGAGATAGGTAGCTTGAGGGAGATTTAGAGCCTGGACAGACCAGACTGTAGTTTCATTTTAGTAATGGCTTCTGACAGACAGGAAGGTGGAAATGCCATCTTTTGCCCCAACTGATTTCTTTACCTCCCTCTTTCACTTACCGTGAGTTTCGGGAGTATTAACACAACGACCAATGTCACTACAACAGAATATAGTACATTCATCTTTCCTGCCTCGAGCTCTCATTTCAGAGTCTAAGGTGAAAAGAACTGAACATTTCATTCATGGAAGGGAACAAGGGACTGGAGGTGGTGGGGAGCAGGAAAAAAGCTATTCATGACCCTTTATGAGTCAGGGTTCACAAGGAGACGTGTACAAAATCCCTTCTGCGATGCAGGCATTCCACTCTGTAAAATAAAATTAGAGACATATGAAAATTCATTTATTCTTCATTGTTCATTGCAACCCCTTCTGAAAGATAGAATTGGTAGGCTTGAGTGCCTCCTGGAATCACTAGCACTTGCATATGTGGTCATTAGAAATGGTTCACGTTAACCCCACGGCTAATGGCCCTACACTTTTAATTAATGCCATGTCTCTGGTTGCAACTGATTTGAAGTTCTTTTAACTCTGTGTGACATGTCCCCAATTAAAATGCCATTTGCCCATAGAGCCATACTTTGTCCAAGCAGTGGATTATGGAGACTACATCTACTTCTTCTTCAGGGAAATAGCTGTGGAGTACAACACCATGGGAAAGGTAAGGAGGGTTGAAGTCTCACTCGCCCCAATGTTGTTACGAATGACCTTGAAAGAAGAACCAGAAATCTAAGCTCAAGGTCATCATTTTGACAAGACTCACCAGAGACTGGTGGCAATGAACACAGTTCTGCCTCCGGGCCCTGGGGCCTTTTTCAGCACAGTCCCAGATCACAGGGAACCTCTGAACCGCCTCTACTGAAAATGCAACCAACTGATGTTTGTTTGGTTGACTTCACACTGAGTCTCAAGCGTCTGGAGAGGTGGTTTTCCGGTGTACTCATCATTTTCTGTTCTTTTTTTTTTTTTTTTCTTTTTAACGGAGCTGTTCCACAGGAGGAGAGTAAATATCCAGCACCTTTAAGCAAACTGAGAGTGTTGATTGTCTTTATTGCAAAAAACAGCAGAACGCTTACTGAATGTCCACTCCAGTTACCTCTACCACAGGGTGGGTTGCGGTCCGGAAGCTGGAGGGCACAAAGTCAGTGCCCAGCGGCTGGCAGGGTTAGAGGAACAGGGAGCCGGAGAGGGCCCCGAGGCAGCCAGTGAGGATGGCAGAGATGACGCCTCCAAAGTATGCTTTTGTTTGAGGAAATAAAAAGCTAAGCAGTCTGTATGGAAATGAGTTTATCTGGCTGGGAGCTGATTCCCTGAAGGATTTGTGGCTCTGTATTAAATGCCACAGCCTTATCTTTCAAAACATGCTGTTCCAATGAGTCTCCCCACCCGCGCCCTTTTTTTTTTTTTTTTTTTTTTGGCTACTAATTTTAGAAACACAGGACTAAATTAAGCATCTTGTTGTGTTTCTGTTTTCGAAGAAAGGCAAATTCCACCACGATCTCCCCACGCTGCGCGCATCTGATTGTCCCCGGTGTGTTTCCTCTGCAGGTAGTCTTCCCGAGAGTGGCTCAGGTGTGTAAGAATGACATGGGAGGGTCTCAGAGAGTCCTGGAGAAACAGTGGACATCTTTCCTGAAGGCTCGCCTCAACTGCTCGGTTCCCGGAGACTCTCATTTTTATTTTAACATACTTCAGGCGGTCACGGACGTGATTCATATCAATGGGCGCGATGTCGTGCTGGCAACCTTCTCCACACCTTATAACAGGTAACCGTGCCCTGGCGGTGCTCGCCTCGCCGGTCCTTCCCAGCTTCCTCTTCCCTGGGGGTTTCTCTCCCAGTGCACAAGTCTCACAACTGACACCAAATGTGCTGCCCGCTGTTTGTGGTTAAAAGCACGTAACACTCAGTTTTCATCAACAAATTAACAGTCAGTTACAAGCATTATTAGATTAGGATTCTACGGGAAGTAATTAGATAAATTATAACAGTATCTCCTATTTCTATGTCTGGCATGGAAACATGCCTCATATGTTATTTCTGAATCTCTCCAGTCATACCAGAAACTGAATACTGTTGCCCTCTTTTTACACCTGAGGAAACTAACCTCAATTCTGTCACCTGGTCCAAGTAGTCAGGAGATGAAAGAGGCACCCTTGGAACTCAAGAGCGTTCCTCCTTCCTCCTCAAGGTCATCTAACGTTCTGTGTGACTTTAAATACTTCTATGACTGGATTGAAAACTTTGGAAGCGAAACCACTGAAAATGTATTTAAAGGCTACAGAGTGACATGTGAGATTCCAACAAGTCCATCGTGCACCCTACCTAAGGGGCCCTGCTTATTACCCTGTTCAAGGAACCTGGACCCCAACCGCCATTGACTCCGGAGGCTTGAGGGAGGACATACAAGTCATCCAACAATGAACCTAGAAATACTGGCAGCCTGTTCATTCCTATGATCATGTTTACTTAGGCTAAGGCTTTGAGTAATCTACTGACGAACTAAAAATTCTTCCTGGAGCAGAACTGTGCAGAGATTAAAAAATAGGAGGAAGGCAGGCAGAGATTCCCTGGTACTGAGCTCTACCAGACCTTAAACCTTAGAGTCCTAGCACTGTCGTATGACCGGACATGGTCATAAAATCTAAAAACATGGAATATCTTTCTCATTTCTGTGGAGAACCTGGGATGTTCTGTATTCCCCTCTTCCGGATGAACACTGCTGCGGTCCTAATCATCCTTTTGATGAAGACTTTTAAGAAGCTGAGGGGTGTCCATATGACAGGCACCTGCGTGAGGAGACTGGAGACAGCACACAGAAATGCTTATGAACCAGGGAGAGTCTGAAGCAGAACACACCGAAGGACGCACTAACGTTCCTCAGTTAGCTGGAGGGCGAGAGTCAAGAGCTCTCCACGGAAGACACGCGACAATATGACAATATGAGTCCGTACCGCAGCGAGAAGCGTTCAGTTCCATCCGAGTGAGCTTAACCATCTGCAGGGATTTTTAGGCTTGAGCATAGAAAAGATACAAAATCCAGGCCGTGACTGTTCATACTTTGGAACCCAAGTATCTAGGATTGTTTAAAAAGAACCTGTCTTGGTACATGGGAATGCAGGGGCTAGAGGAATTTCGGAGCACGTTTCTAGTTTGATGGGGCTGGGTGGGGGGTTGAGGGGGAGTTCCCGTGTAATTACAAAACAGTAGTAGACTCTTGTCCGTTACAGATACTCTGCTTAAAGTATTTTCTTAGAAGTCCCCTAGGAAGCCCCCACTTAGTACATGCTTATGCAGTCTCAGAAACCGTACTTGTTTAGTAAAATGAGAAAATGGTAACAATGCACATATCCATTTTCATCTATAGAGTCTGCCCCTGGTTTTACTTGCTCTGGTTTCGTCCCTTTCCACCCCATCCTCCACACTCGCAAACTTGGTCGGGAAGGGCTGTTTCAAGCCCTTGAGGTGCTCCTCTCTGCCCTGCGGACAAAACCCAAGTTCCCTGGTGAGCATAACGGTCCCGCCAAGGTCAGGCTCTTCTCCTGTTCCAGCTGCAGAGGCTTACGGGCTGGAGCTAAAAGGTAGTTCTTAGATGTGCTATGCCCATTCGTGCCTCCTCTGCCAGGTCTGCCAGTCCCACCACGCGTCTTAGCTGAGAGCTGCTGTCCTTTATTGAGCATTTGCTGCTGGAGATTAGGGATTCCGTAAATACACGCTAAAGGAACAGAGGTGGGAAGAAAGGATGAATGAAGGAAAGATGAACAGAAGGTGGGAGGAGTAAAGGAAGGAAGACGAAAGGATTTCACAAGTGATTCTAACCGTGGCAAGATTATGGAACTCTAGGGTAACTTTAGTTATTATGAGATGCCTCAGAAAATTCTTCAGTAGCTATCCTATTCACCATAATATTTACATTATGTATCCCTGTTACTGTTAGAAAAGGGAGATGTGAAAAGACTTTCACAAAATTAAGTAAGTAATGCTAGGGTTCTAAGATTCCAAAACCAAAGGGATAGCTGTCTTATCTATCCAAGTCTGTACACAATGTATATATAGTCCACATGTTTGAAAATTCATCCTGCCACTTCGTTTTAAACAAGCTTTCTAATCCTCTCCCTAATTCTTGCTTTATTAGTAATACCTCAATAACTGTGTTATGAAATTAAAGATGGCAGAAAATTCCCCTAATCACTTAGGAAGTAATTTCCATATCCTTTCAATATTTGCAAAGTCAAGACTAAACCGGTCTCTCTATCCTGGACAGCGCAATCACCGTGCACAGCACCTGTGTCTTTGGCCCGGGTACTCCCGCCCATGCCTTGGTCACTACCTCAAAGTCCGGTGAACGCTCTCGGCCAGCTGGTGCCAGCCATTTATTTGATCAAAATCAAGGAATGACCATAGTTAGAGACAAACAGGGGTTCAAATGAATGAATAATTCATGCCTTCTCCCTGCTGATTAAAAACCCCCCAGTCCTTCCATGAGTACCAGAAAAGGATGTAATTACAGGTAGAAATTACCACCATTATTATTATTTAGCACGTAATAGGGCACTTTATTTGCAAAACGTTGGTGCTTTAGAGGCTTAAGCTGCTTTGTCTGATGCAAATAAACAGGAAGTAAAACTTGAAATGGGCAGTGGGCAAACAGAAAATAAGCGTGCTTTCCCCACACATACATTCCCCCTCCTGGGGTCTCTGGCTGGAATAAACCGAACACAAAAAAGCAATGAGTGGACAATGGAGACACTTTTACTTCAAATGTACCCCAATATTAGAGATGTAAAATGTTTTCCAAAGACTTTAAGATTAGTGAGTGAAAATTCAGGGAATTTCTGAACTACCAGTTATGAACAAATGCAGTTCCAAAGTTAATAACCAAAGGAAGAGGTTTTTTTCCTATGAGTTTGCCGGTAAGCAGTCTTTTCTTTAAAGCCACCCATGCAAACATGATTCAGGGAAACGTTCCCTGTGTATACCAGCGTTCCTTACAGTATTGGGATGCAGACTTGAAATTTCCAATGCCCGTAACAGGAGAAGTGCTTTGGAGTCTGTTTTCCAAGCTGCATGCCTAACAGTTGTGAGAGTAACGCAGCATGAAATGCTTCTGTTACAGCATCCCGGGGTCTGCAGTGTGTGCCTACGACATGCTCGACATTGCCAATGTTTTCACGGGGAGGTTCAAAGAGCAGAAGTCTCCAGATTCCACTTGGACACCAGTTCCTGATGAACGAGTACCCAAGCCCAGGTATGTGTAAATATTTCTGTGGAGATTCCAAACAGCGAAAAATGGGCACCTTGGTCCTCTGACAATGAATGTCTTAGAGAACCGCATACCAGTACCTTCCATGGGGCCCAAGATATAAATGCTAGAACAACAGAAAGATCTAGAAGGCCATTTGCCTTCATCCCCTTAACCTAAACTCAGCATTACCTCTAGCTGTATTCAAAACAACAAGGCTTAAGTCTTCTACTTAACCTCTATCCCAGTGGCTTATCCAGTGTAATCCATCCCGTCCAGCCCTGCTGGTGTATGGTTAGGAAACGGGAGTCCCAGAGAGGCAGAATGTGTCTTGTGCAAGTGGAGTAGGTTACTTCCACCACTCCACCCTGCTTCCCCATCCTTATACAGAGACCCATGTCCTCACACCCTTATCAAATGTAAAATATACATGGTGATCCCTGGATTCTGTAACCAGGCTGGATCAGAGCTGCATCCAGGACTCCGGGGCAAGGGCAGGTAGAGACCAGTGGGTACAGTGGACCATCGTGTTTGCTCTGCTCTACCAGGTTCTAGTCTGTTATGGATCCAGACACATTCCACATCCCTCCACCAAAATGTAGAGCCCCAGAATCACTTTCATGGGGAACCTGCTGTCCCAGGACAATGCAGAGACCTCTTGGTCCTGTGTAACCTCTGCGAAATCTTCGCATGGAGTCAGCTAATTCGTTCTCTCTCAGAGGGACAGGATGAAACTCTGCCCCGCCCCCATGCCTGCCCTCCCCATGGAGCACGTGCTGCACACTTCCATTAGAACACAGGCTATCTAAGGTCTGTAGAAACGTGTGTGTCCAGCTTTCTCCACTGAATTTTTGAGCTTCTGCAGAAAAGCCCAGTATCTTCCTTTTTTTGGTTTCCAACACTCTCCTCCAGCCACCAGTCCCCCCACACAGGGCAGGCCAGTCCATTCAACTGAACTGACTTAGGTAATGTTACCCACCCCACCCCCCCCAACCACAGGAAGCCCTCTGTGGTTCATCGGTCCTCATCACCTGAATTATATGCCGTGTGAATTCACTGCTACTCACGGAGAGCAGACCGGGTACAAAAGGCACACTGTGGCTGGCTCAGAGAGATCCCCGAAAAGTCACTGCCTGGGAACTCTAGCTACTTTGCAGATAGGCAGGAAGGGGAGCTAGGCTCCAGGAGTGAGATTCCAGGGAATACTCACAGACTGTGCTCCCCTTGATGTGTGAAGACGGTGACGGCCAGCTATCGCCAGGACACAAACTGTGATTTTCAGTGACAATGGGTTTCTCCCCATCCTTCCACGGGCCTCCTTGTGCCTCTGGCCGACATCAAGATGCTTTCACAGGACTGGCTGGGTTAGTGCCGTAAAACGGTGCGTAGATGAGGCTGGATCATGCCAGGGCTATCAGGGTCCAGTGTACTCTCCTGAACCAGCAGGCAGAGACAGGGTGTGGACAGGACTGGGGTCGGGTTTCCCTGACCTGACTTTACTAGGCTGTCCCTGGACTCCTGAAACCACGGTACTGCTTGTAGAGATGACTTTCTGCTGTCACTGTTCAGAAATAAAGAAATGACCTTTCAGGAGAGAATCTTCAGTGTAACTGGTTTTTCATACCTGCCCAAATCAATCAAAACACTAAAGACAAACCCTGCACATTCTCAGAGCCCCAGGTAAGGAGAGCCGGTTACAGTGAGTGTTGCTGGGCTCTACGCTGGCTGGCCGCTCTGTGAGCACCTCTGTCTTCTACGTCGTGCAGAAGTCAGCTGCCTTCTCTCCTCTGGTAGAGCAAATATGCCTCAAGGGCATCCAGCAGGGTTTTAGGACGGGCAGCGGAGCTCCTGCCATGTGGGCAAAGCACACACCTCCCCCCTTGACTGAAGCTCCATCACTGTCTGGGAGGTTGGTCTGGGCTTCTGGGGGGAAGCCAGGCTGCCCTGGCTGCAACTTTGCTGTGGAATGAGGCAGCCAGGAGAGAAGCTAAGCCTATTTTGTTTGGTGGCATCCTGCACCATTCAACTTCCCCTTCTCAGCCTACAGCATACTCTCCCTCATGCCAGATGCTTAGGGAAGCAGTCCGTTCAAAGAATTTGCCATAAGGCATTTAAAAAAAAAGCTCCCTCCCTTTGTTTCTTTCCAGGCCAGGTTGCTGCGCTGGCTCATCATCCTTAGAAAAATACACAACCTCCAATGAGTTTCCCGATGATACCCTGAACTTCATCAAAACCCACCCCCTCATGGATGAGGCCGTGCCTTCTGTCATCAACAGGCCGTGGTTCCTGAGGACGATGGTCAGGTGGGTGTCAAGCAGATCACACCCTAAGCGGGCTATTCTTTCCTCCATCTCATGCTCACAGAACCTGCCAGTACATCATGATTTGAAATGCCACAAACATCTTCTGTTATCCATGGTGTTGCTTCAGCTAGGAAATGCTGGCCGGCTGGGGGTCTGCCACCAAACCCCCATCACCACATCCCCAGTGGGAAGAGTTCTGGTATCTCCAGGCTAAGAGGACCCGTGCCAGCAATTAAAGGGAACAAAGATACCTCCTTCCGGGTGAGAACCTCCTGGGCAAAAGCAGAGAAGCAGTGAAGGAGAGCCAGTCGATGGATGTGGATATGTGTGTGGTTGGATATGGTTGCAAAACATGATCCAGATCCCATCCAAGTCCTGTCCCCAGCTTGTTAGCTGTCAGACAGACCGGGGATGAACAGCACTTGCGCAAGGACACTAGAGTGAGGAAGTCACACTGTACCATTTGTAATCTGAAGGGGTGGCCAGAAGAGAAGGGACAGCTGATCAGAAGTTAGTGTTAGCGTTAAATACTCCTTCTTGTATCTCTTTATAGAGTTTTTTTCCAAACCGTTCCACAGGATTTCCCAAGTACCATCCTGTTGGCGGTAGCCAACAAACAAAATGTTACTCGTCTTTACCACCATTTTTTAAACGATGACTTTAGGGCAAGATGTTAAAGGACTCTAACGGCTCTTGCCCATAAACTGAAAACTATGGTGTAAAACTTGTAGGAGGGCCCGTGTTTTCTGGTTTCCGCCAACGTGCTTGGCACAAACAGGTATCCACCGAGTGGTCAATGGCTGAGAGATACCCGCGAAAGACGGTATCTGACAGGACTTATCGAAGGCCTGATGTCCTTCACCTACAGCTTCAGATGGACCCTGTTTTGCCTGCACGTCCTTGTCTTTATTTACAGTGCCATCGGCACACCACCTTCCCATCCCTCAGCGCGCTCTCAGCCCCACTATGTACACGTGGAAAGCTTTCCAATCCAACATTTTGTTGACAAGGCTTTGCACTTCAGAGGCAGAGTACAGGAAACTGATATCTGTTGCTTGCCTTTGCGGTGGTAAATGAAATGTTCAGTGAGTTTGGTTAGTATTTCTTCCCCTCTTCCTGGGAGACCTCAGCCTTTCCTTGCTGCTCATGGAAGAGATCATTGCTGAGCGGTTGCAGATGGCGATGCCTGTCTATTTGTTATGTGACTTGGCCTCCACACATACCTCCGTCCTCCCCTTGGAGCCATCCTAATGCGCCGCATGTGGAAATAAAGGACCAGAACAGCTTGAGAACATTATCTACATGCATATATTTTTCTTGGGGTTATTACTAGAAAGCTATGTCACAACTGTTTGAAGTGGAAAAGGGGATCCTTTAATGACAGACCGACAAGAGAGCTAAAAACCGTGATCCTGTCATTTTAGATACCGCCTGACCAAGATTGCAGTGGACACCGCTGCAGGCCCGTATCAGAATCACACTGTGGTTTTCCTGGGATCAGAGAAGGGAATCATCTTGAAGTTCTTGGCCAGGGTAGGAAACAGTGGTTTCCTAAATGACAGCCTTTTCCTGGAGGAGATGAGCGTTTATAACCCTGAAAAGTACGTAGAATCTCTGGCACTTTCTTAGTAATTATTGGTCATTATGATCCTTTTCATTCAGAGACTATGTGAGGACAGCATGTTTAGGTGACTTTTAATATTATTTGCAAAAAATACTTTAATTCATAAAAAGCATTGTTTTCTCGTTGCCAGTAACGTGTGTGTTTATATAAATACACACAAAGGGGAAGGGGACAACTTAAAGGATCTGCTTCACCTTCAGTGAGACCAGACTAAGACCCCATGGGCTGGGAGGCGGCGGGGGAGGGCATATCAGGAGAAAGAGAGAAGACTCCAGAGAGACTCTGACTGGCACCATCCTGCCTTGTGCCACCAGGTGCAGTTACGACGGAGTGGAGGACAAGAGGATCATGGGCATGCAGCTGGACAAAGCCAGCAGCTCTCTGTATGTTGCATTCTCCACCTGTGTGATAAAGCTTCCCCTTGGCCGGTGCGAACGACACGGGAAGTGTAAAAAGTAGGTATCTGGCCTCACTGACCATGAGAAGGTCCGCAGTGCTTAGAGAGCAGTGCCGGTAGCTCACGGTCCCACTCTTCCCGCAGAACCTGCATCGCCTCCAGAGACCCGTACTGCGGGTGGATAAAGGAAGGTGGTGCCTGCGCCCACCTGTCACCCAGCAGCAGGTAAGGAGCCTGAGCTTTGCAGGAGGGTAAGGCAGCCTTAGGCTGCCACGCATCCTAGACACACTGTCACCCCACTGCCACCCAGCCTTCTGTGCACAGACCTCATCAGTGGACTGCCACCCCCTCTCCTTCCTTTTCCCATTCACAGAACATGCCAGCATCACATGTGGCAGATTTCCAATTGATTCATCATCCGTCCTCAGACTCTTGAAAAACACAGGGAAAAGAAACACAGTGGGCTTCTAAGTATTCCCTGAAGAGAGGGACAAGAAGGTACACGCCTTGATCGCGGCAGCGTAGGAACAGTAGAGAAAAGGCGCAACAGGGTCCCGATGAGATTAGTGCTGTGGTCTGTCCGGCCACAGCCAAACTAACTCCTCTAATGGACTGTGCAGGGCTGAGAAGAGGTCACAGAGCATTTGTTCGGCGATGCATTGGTACAGCGAGTCCAGTAAGCCATTCCATGCCCTGAAGAACAGCTGACCCTATTACTCGTTAGGGAGTCAATCAGTTCTTGGCAGTTGTCCAGCAGATCAGCTACATCAGGCCAGTGTATCATGCCTGTGATTTTGGTGCATAAAATTGTTACCCTGGCTTTAAATGCTTAGACGGCATTAGTTAGAAGGTTTTGTTTTGTTTTCTCTGTCTTTACTTTGGTGGATATGAAATCCAATGCCCGTCCTTGACAAGTTAGGGCAACTCAAGGAAGGTGCCATATGGCAGCACAGTTCCATCTGAACCATTCCTTCAATGTCCCCAGATCCTAGAGGGCAAAGAACCATCTTGGCATCACTCTGAGCCTCCTCTCCCATTTTAGAATAGCTGGAGAGGCAGGAGAGTGGATCTGATGACCACCACACACTAACTTGAGGGAAAGTATTCCCACAAACATAACTCAGGACAGTTGTCAAGTCTGACCTGGAAATCTGCCTCGTGATTCATGATTAGATCACTTCACAAGTAGCAATGCTGACATACTAGCGTTAGAGATTTGTATCTTTTCCTGGGAACGCTTGAGGTGAAGGAGTAAAGATTACAAATTACGGGAGGGAAGCTAAGAAATGACCTATCTCCTTTCTATATTCAAGGTGTGACCTGAGGTGGTAAGACTGATTTTTAAAAATCATTTTTAGGTAGGGCCTCCTGGGTGGCTCAGTAGGTTAAGCTAAGGTCATGATCCTAGGGTCCAGAGATCAAGCCCCACACTGGGCTCCTTGCTCAGTGGGAAGTCTGCTTCTCCCTCTCCCTCGCCCCCTGCCCCCTGCTTGTGTGCAGTCACTCTCTCTAATAAATAAATAAAATCTTAAAAAGAAAGTAACTTTTACGTCAACATCTGAACTCCAAAATTGTTCCCTTAAGGATCTACATCTATATCTCATTGCTCAAAACATGTGGAACTCCCTTTAGAAAACGGCCTTCAGAGCCTGATGAATCCTGGCTTCCGATACCTCTGAAAATCTTTATCTTTGGAATACAAATTTGATTTTTAACAGAGAAAAACACTGGAAAGCAAACACAGTGAATGATTCGATCAAGGCTGTGACTTTCCAGATGGTTTTCCTAGACGGTCCATAAAATAAACTCTAAAGGCAGTTGCAAAACAGAGTGTCAACAATGTTGTGAGGAGGAGCACAGAGCGTCTCCTCAAAGAGGACAGTACTCCTCTGATTGAGTCCAGCGTGCTTCTTTCAAAAATCAAAATAGAGATGCTAAGACTGGTCTTGTTATATACCTTGTGCAGCCCATGGTAACCAAAGGGGTTTGAAAGAAGAGTGAGCTTGTGGGCGAGTAGGAGGGTAATAAGGCAAGGTTCTCAAGGTCACAGGGTTGCCGGGTCTCTGGGGGTCTCGGCACAATGTACCACCACACCCCTCGAGGGTGCTACAGGCCCCCGGCCCTTTGTTCTTTGGAACACACTGTCACACAGGTCATTTCTAGGCAGAGAAACAGATCAAGGTCTAGGAAGGCAGTACTGGGGTCAAGGAAAAGGAGAGAGAAAGAGACCTTTACTTTTTCTTTTCTTTTCTTTTTTTTTTTTTAGGCACATATTTTTCTTTTTCTTTTTTTTTTTTTTTAATTTATAGACTTCTATATCACTTATAAAGAGTTATGTTAACATTTTAGGGGCCCCTGGGTGGCTCAGTGGGTTAAAGCCTCTGCCTTCGGCTCAGGTCATGGTCTCAGGATCCTGGGATGGAGCCCTGCATCGGGCTCTCAGCTCAGCAGGGAGCCTGCTTCCCTTCCTCTCTCTGCCTGCCTCTCTGCCTCCTTGTGATCTCTGTCAAATAAATAAATAAAATCTTAAAAAAAAAAAAAACCGGGGGTTAATAAGGGGTACCTGGGTGGCTCAATGGGTTAAGCCTCTGCCTTTGGCTCAGGTCATGGTCTCTCAAGCCCCACATCGGGTTCTCTGCTCAGCAGGGACATGCTTCCTTCCCCCTCTTTCTCTGCCTGCCTCTCTGCCTAGTTGTGATCATTCTCTCTATTAAATAAATGAATAAAAATCTTTAAAAATATTTTTAAAAAGAGTTATGGGCAGCCTGGGTGGCTCAGTGGGTTAAGCCTCTGCCTTCAGCTTAGGTCATGATCTCAGGGTCCTGGGATCAAGTCCCGCATCGGGCTTTCTGCTAGGCAGGGGGCCTGCTTCCTCCTCCCTCTCTCTCTCTCTCTCTCCCTGCTTGCCTCTCTGCCTACTTGTGATCTCTGTCAAATAAATAAAATCTTAAAAAAAAAAAGAGTTATGTTAAGATTTAAACTTTTTTAATGTTTAAGAAATGCTCAAAGAATCCATAAAAGAAGGACATAAATAGTCCACCAACTAATTAGCTCCCTGAATACTATCAGAATTAGTGGCTTAAACCCTGCCTTCTCTTTGGAGAGTCCCATAAAGACTTGTTTTCCATAAACTTCAGAGACAGATTTTCCAGCTGTTATCTATTTCTTTTTTTGCACCTACCATTCAGTTTATCAAACCATGTTCATTTCTGGAGTGAAACTTCAGACTCATTCCAGAGTAAGGACATGCATTATTGAATTTGTTTCCTTCTTCTCCCTGTTCTTCTTTTTAAAGACTGACTTTTGAACAGGACATAGAACGTGGCAGCACAGAGGGCCTGGGAGACTGTCACAGTAAGTACTGCTTTTTATCCATGCTCATCTTTGTGCAAAGATCCTTTGCTCGGATGGCCCAGAAACATGACCCCATATGTGGGGCTGGGTGTGGATGGCCCCAAACCAGGCAGAAGTAACAGGAATCATCTTCTAAATATCAGAGAGAGAAAACAGTGTGTTGGAAAGCCAGTGTGTCAGTGCTGTTGCTGTCAAGTGCCAGCACCTGTTTCCTTGTTATAACACTGTGGAACCAATTCATTCCAGAGGATATTAATTATAGCCAACCAATAAGTCAAATCAGCATTTCCATTAAAAAACTGGTTTTGTTGTTTTAAAAAATGTCTTATTACACCATAATTTTTAGCCAAATAATAAAAAGACTGATCGCTGTACTCTAGCTTTTTTTTTTTATTCTAGCTTTTTAATTGAATGGAGTGTTGTGTTCTTGAACATATCGCCTAATAAAAAAACTTTTTTTATTGATGTCTGTTACCACTCACAGTAGAAGAAGATTTCAGAAAGAACCCACTAGGTGCAAGATGACTCAAAATAACCTTTTTTTATAGGAATTAATCCATTATGCTTACCTCGGAGTTCATCTCAAAAGTTATTAAGCTGTAACACTTTAGCTGGAACTTCATATAAAAGATCCTGGTCAAAAGTCTCCCCAGTTGTCCTATGACCTGATTAACGTGGGTATTCTCCTGAAAAGGTTTATTAATGCTGATTTAGAGAACAACGCCACTTTCTTGGAAAATAGTTAGTTTACAGTGTTTTACATGTTATAGATGATGAATTCCAGAAAGCTTATTCATTCAAAATGGCACCCAAAAAATAGCTCCTGAGGGAATTAAACTCCCGAGAGAATTAAATTCCTGAGGGAATTAAAATCAGGTATACTCTGATACCTGATTCCATAATGAAAATCACGGATCCAACCCTCAATCCTTGAACTCGCAGACTCTGAGGTACCACTCAAATTTCTACCTTACCTTTTTTTGGAGATCAACAATAATCCAATAAAGAGGACTACAGGCAGCCTTATCTCCCAAATTCTTTGCTGTATTATTTCATTTGCAAATATTACATATTGGCCAAAGCTTCTTATTAGGTCTTCAAACACAAAACTTAGGGAAAGAAATCTACCTAGGAGACAGTGTCCTCACCAAAACATTATTTGTGTGCCGTGAAACGGCTTGATGTTTGATCAGTGGATCTTAAATCATATTAATCGTGTTGGAGCCTTATGGCTCCATTTTCAGGGAAACAAGTTCTGGTTTGTGTGTGGGTCTGTGTGAGCAAACTTAATTAGCTGACTTCAGTGAATAATTTTCTTCCTATTTTTATGATCTGGTGGTATGGGCATCTGTAGAAAACAGGAGTGTCGACTGGGACTGAATGAATGGATGAAAGTTGTGAAAATGGCTGTTACCATCTCTGTCACGTGTCCACATGACCTGTGTGTTCTGGGGCAAAGGAACCAAAGGAAACCTCTGTATCTAACACAGGGGAGCCCTTCAGGTCCCCAGCCCATGATTTACTCTTCAATCTCTGTGTTATGGTGTGCTCCCTAACCGTGAACTCCAGTCCCAGCAAGGCACTCGGGGGGGCCCACTCAGGGCAGGAAGTACAGCGCTCCCCGCCCCCCGCCCCGCTGCCTTTCCTGGTGGCTTCTCTGCTCTCTGCTCCTGCTGGGGCATGACCTACTTCTGTTACAGACCTGTTCACATACAGGCATTCAGGGTTTAGATAACTGGTGCACAGTGACTCCTGAACAGGATTTTAAGAGGAAATGAGGAAATCCTGAAGTCAGTGTCAGAGGCTGAACTCAGAGCAAGCTGAATGAACCAGCAATGTGACTCAGACACACAGCGTGCACACACCTGTGTGGCTGAGATGATGACACGAGGGAGAACATAAAGACAAGAGCGTTTCTACTAAGTGTGGTCCAGGTGTCACTTCTTTTGCCCACATACACGTCCCTCTCTATAGAGTAAGGCCTCAAATCCCAGAATCACAAACACTCGCAGTTCCCATTCCGTCTACTAACTCTTGCATTTGAGTCTTGACAAAAAAGGGCAGTGACTTTGAGGAAACTCACTCGGGGAGAGATGGGAATGTGTGAAATTGGACCCAATATAAAGCGTCTTGTATTACACGCAGAAATTAAAAAGCACTTAGTACTGGGGACCATTTGTAAGCATAATTCTCTATTAGCTCATTCCTGCTTATTATGTAAGTCACGCTAAGCAGAGTGTTAAACATTAAGTAACCTTCTCCTCCCTTTTGTCTTCCAGATTCCTTCGTGGCCCTGAATGGTAAGAAAGATATTACTCATCATTTAATATCGATGGAAATCTATGTGGGAAATCCTGTTTCACTAATCCTCTTGAGTATTTTCAAATCTTGGGTTTCTTTTTTAATTAATTTTTTTACCCTCATTATTTTTTTATAGACATTTCAACTCCTCTTCCAGATCATGAAATGTCTTACAACACAGTATATGGTCAGTTTACGGAATTTTTTTGGTTTTTTTTTTTTTTTTTTTTTGGTAATTCCAAGCCACTTATCATGTCATAGCTTATAGTTTTCATTCCTAAACATCATGGACCAGATTCTTCGTTACTGCAGGGCCCCAATTCACTAAAATTATTTCTCCATCTCATGATGCTTCAAAAATCACTGCCTGTGAGAGACAATTGACATATGAGACTGGCTCCTACATTTTTAATCCACAGAACACGAAATTCTCCAACCTCAGGGAATTCGGTGAATATATTTAATGAGTTCTTGAGGGAGAAGAAATTGCTTTTGGATATAAGTATATCCAAGATAAAAGAATAGTGCGTGTAAGTAATAGGCCATAGCTCTCAACTGGCAGAGTACCATTCCCGAAAATGCTGACTTTCACGGCGCTGCCCTCCGCAGGGGGGAAGAAAATGTGTACATCATGCAGAGACCAGTTCTTAGGAGGCAAACCTTTCCAATATCACACGAAAATTAGCCATCGAAATTTAAGTTCCCAAAGAGTATGAGCATGTAGACGTATTTTCAGTGAGAGTTCTTCCAAATGTATACAAGGAAGACTGACGCAGGGGAAACGATGTGCAAACAGGATTTACCCCATTGTTCCTGCTCTGAAATACACAGACACTATATTAAACAAAGCCATGAAGTCCATAAACAGAATATTCCAAGCCCTTTATAAGAAAAACTGAAATGGAACTGAAGTGTTCCACTGCTATTTCTCAGAGTTCCCCCAAACGTTTATAGGATAAACTATTCATGTGTTTTTTAAATATGGAAAACACATGTGATGGAAGACTGAAGCTTTGCATGATAACGGGGACGAAGAGTTTCACTGGTGCACAAACGCTGTAGAGCTTTCGTGTTAAAAATATGTTAACAGTAACAATTCCAGGACAGGCTTTAAATGTAGAGGCAGGGAATAAAGGAAGGGGGAAAAAGGAAAGAAAAGTAAGGCAGGTTTAGGATTCAGAGAAATAGTTCAAGATGGCTGCAAATGTGTTTAACAGCTCTATGTAATAAACTCTTACTCCCTGTGTCTAATTAGCGTAATTAAAAAGCCTCTTTGGAAGGCCTAAAGCCTGTGCACTCCTAAGTGAGCTGTGCTAATATGGGAAACAATGCCTGGTTCCCCTGTGAAGGGGGGCCATGAGAGCAGATGAGCCCACAGAATTCATCCACCTTTAGTCGTATCTGTGACTCAAGCCAGAATGCTGAACACCAACAATGAACAAAAATTTCTCGGGAGGCAGATGTCGTCTAGCTTAGCTCACCTTCAGAAGGAGAACCCACTGAGCATCTGTTATCCCCCACTATCATGCTTTGCAATCATTTCCTAGAATTGAATAATCTTTACCAGGTACTGAGGAATTCAGGTCTTAAATCTAATTGAACCAGCAACCTCCCCAGCATTCATCAATTGGACGGAGACCACTTTTAACTCCCAGGTAATTTCTCACACAGAAAGAGTAATTAGACGATGGGACACTTTCTATGAACAAAAAGTCCAAGCTATGGATCTCTAGTTCCTTTACAAAGGGAAAGGAACATTTTAATTCCTCCATATTAACATCTTAAGGGATGATGCCTGTTCACGCTCAGCTCTTGATCAGTGGCTTCTGTGATGAAACTAAAGAAGAGTTGGAATTTTCCTTTCAACTAATGATCCTGTCCATTTTAAGCTACATCTGTCCAGCGTCAAGTGGCTAGATGACTGACTGACCACCAAAATAAGAACTGGTCCAGACAGTACTTAAAAAAAACACAGGAGACTTTCTTTTCACAAACTATTCTAAGAGATGCTTGTTTTGGAGTTAAAAAAGCTAGAACAGATTTAATTAATTCACTCAAATATGTGTTGAATGCCCACCATGGTGTCAGGCGCTGGACTAGGCACTGTATTTCTACCATCAAAGACCAAATTGCTATTTGTATGAGCACAGACACAGACTAAGAAGCCAACCACAAAGTCTAAAATGCACCCACTGTTTCTAGCTGTGTCCTTTGCACATCCCCCCTAAAATGTTCAGTGGCTGAGCTGAGGCTCTAAGAGCCATGAGACCTGCCTGACTCAAAAAAGGAATCATTGCGATAAGTCTTGCAATCTCTCTGCTTGGCAAAAATTCTGTGCAACAGCAGTCACACTGCAAGAACCTCTTTTTAGTGAATTGGACCCTGTTTTCCTTCTCTCTCCCTTTCTTGTATTGATTTAGTATCTCTTGTTTTGTGTCTAATTGGCTACAGTCATTGTTAATAGATAACAGTGGTTTGAAGGATCTCTAACCTCTGGAGTCACAAAGACTTGTAGATATAGAGAAACAATATGATGCATATTAAAATTAACTCCTAAAATATATTCCTTTGCATATGATAATAATAATATATCAGGGGTGCCTGGCCGGCTCAGTCAGTGGAGTATGCAACTCTTAATCTCAGGGCCGTGAGTTCAAGTCCCACGTTGGATGGAGAGATTACAAAAAAAAAAAAAAAAAAAAGGATCTTAAGCTCCACTGATTAAAATATGACCCTTCTTAATGGATTAACAAGACAAAACCATAGGCTCCAAATCTACTGACCTGTAACACCGGAACTACAAATAAATGCCTATTTGCGTAGCATTATTTTGGTTACAGAGTCTCAGGGAATATACAAAAATGATACAGCCTGTAGAATCAGATTTTAAGAAAGAATGTAAGTGATTTCCTTTTAACATTTTAAGCTTGGAGAAGTAGTAATAACACACCTCTCTGATTTCAAACGAAGGACTGCTGTTTAACTGTGCTCTTACAAGGCGGTTCTAAAATTTTTGAGAATCAGGCATTGCTTTCTCCAACTGTCTGGCTCACTAGTGACACGTGTTGCCTATCTCAAGCCTAAGTTTAAAAGAATACAAACCTCAGGCTGCTCAATTTTTTTCTTTAATCTTGAGTACATCAGATGCACGGTTTCTCTAGATTTACATATAGAAAATGGGGATGCGGTGGGTATTAGACTAACACTTCAGCAATAGGAAGGAGCTGATTTCTCACATTTGTGTAAAGCATTTTTCTACCTAACTACCATCTGGTCCACATTAATTTCCTCTCATAGCCATAGCTTTCCATTACCAATGAGTTTTCCATGTATCTGCAGCATATGGTTCAGGAAATCTTTCAACAGAGAATGTGTCCCTTAGGCATATATTTCCCCTAGATTACCGTATTAAGAAATGTTCTCCCTAAACCATACTTATGGCATTACCATAAAATTGCCCCTTGAACACAGTTAAATTGAAAGTACTCAAAATGCGTATCAATTCAGGTAAAAGAAATTCCTGCTACTTGGAGAAAAGGGTTTTGTCGTCGTCCCCCCCCACACCCCCTCCATTCTAACTCCCTACAAAGCGATTTCTAATGGTTTGCCTAGGCTGGGTGCTGAATTCTCTCTTGGGATGACCATGTATCGCCTAAGAGCGGTGTAGAATTCAGGAGTAGAAAACAAGAGGCTCTGTTTCAGACCGCAATATAAGCAAAAAAGAAGTCAGAAAATCTGCATTTACAAGTTTGGCTTAATTTCACTACTCCTGTCGTCTTATCGGTATTAAGAGATGCGCTGTGAAACCCAGAAATAAAAAAAGAGAAAGTCTAGAGGCAACCATCCTTGAGTTGCAAATGAACATGTTCCTAACAGCTGGATAGAAACCAGACTCTGTGCACCAAAGCCAGTGTTGGAAGCTGCGTGGAGGCGAACAAAATTTACGCAGGAAGAGGTTTCTTAAATGTTGTGCACGTGCTGTGGTGGCATTTGGGAGCGGCGTTTCTGCAGAAATCAGTAGAGTGTGGGTGGGCCACTTGGCTTCTTTGCTTTTCCCTCAGTCTTTTTTACGTACGTTGTCTGTTACGTGCAGTACTGGAGTCTCCTGGAAACCCAACTTATTATAATAAGTGTCATAAAGAAGAATGCAGTGCACTGATCACTGTCATCTTCCTTCCTGGTCACCAGTATTTTATTTGTCACATACGTGGTGATCACAGCCCAAGGCGGGAGCCACCTGTGACTCTCCTCCTTTCTGCCAGAGCCACTGACTCCACATTCACAGTATTTGCCTGGATGGTCTTTCAAACACCATGCAAGAGGAGGTTGCCATAGCGAAGATGGTTTAATGAGCCAAAGACTCGAGTCGAAAATCATGGAGAGGTTAAAATTTATTTCTCCCAGAGAGAACAGGTAGTGGGGCTTCCTTTAAATCACTGTGGCAGTTTACATCAAAGCACCTGGTGCGACCTGTATTTAACCTTGTGGGATGGTGGCAGGAAAGCTTAGGAATGTGTTCACAGAAGTATCCAGAGTTTCTGCCCTAACTCCCAACCTGGCCATGCTTTTCCTGACATCATCCTCTGGTAGCCTCTGGATGTCAAAAAGCTGTCCCTTTCTAATCTAAAGCATGTCAGTCAGTGCGGCCTCAAGAACGGCCTCTCCCAAGCCAGAGTCAGGAGGCCATGCAGCTGACTTGGCTGGAACAAGACACAGAGGGCAGAGCCATGGCAACACCGGGCAGCAGAGGATATCATTCCAGGGAAGCGGTGGTGAGAGCAGGTCCCTTTAGAAAGCCGTCACTTCCCTTAGAAATGGGGAACCCGGGGCGCCTGGGTGGCTCAGTGGGTTAAAGCCTCTGCTTTCGGCTCAGGTCATGATCTCAGGGTCCTGGGATCGAGCCCCGCATCGGGCTTTCTGCTCAGCGGGAAGCCTGCTTCCTCCTCTCTCTGCCTACTTGTGATTTCTCTCTGTCAAATAAATAAATAAAATCTTTAAAAAAAAAAAAAAATGGGGAACCCGTGAAGCTGAGTTGAAGCTGAACGCAAGACACACCCTCCAGGAGAGAGGCTCAGGGAGAAGGGCTTGGGACCAAAGAGTTGTTCCTAACAGGCGAGAGGCTCCTCTACTACCATCCACCCCATTAGTCACAGAGGGTGTCCCCCAGAGCGGACACATGCTGCCTTTAGTGGTGCTACACGAACATCAGAGAAGGCCACCGGTCCTTCTTGAGCACGTGCTGTGTGTCAGACACTGCTGGGTACTTTCCCCACGGTGTCACCTTATCCTCCCCGTGTGAGGAGGATAAGGTGTCATCATCCCCATTTTGTGCACAAGGAAAATCAAGGCCCAGAGAGATTAAGTGAATCTCCGAGGCTCACCGAGCAAGCAGCAGAGATGGGCTGTGGCCCTTCACCCTCCACCTGCAGGGAGTCTTCTGCAGAACCCCACCCCCAAGCCTGTTACCTGGAGGGCAACCTCCTTTCAGTCCTCCAGCCAGCCTGGGGAGCCCCTCCTGGCCTCTGAGCAAAGGGAATGTGGGGGTGTCCAGCGATGTTCTCCCTAACTGTATTTGTGATGAAAACAGGGCACTCCAGTTCCCTCTTGCCCAGCACCACCACGTCAGACACGGCGGCTCAAGAGGGGTATGAGTCTAGGGCGGGAATGCTGGACTGGAAGGACCTGCTCCATTCACCCGACAGCACAGACTCTTTGGGGGCAGTGTCTTCCCGTAATCACCAAGACAAGAAGGGTAAGGCCTTGGAAATGACTCTTCCTCTGGGGGGAGAGGGAGGGAAAAGTGAGGAGGACTGTGTAACTGCTTCCAGCTGAACCGTGCAGTGTTGAAGGAACCTCCAACACACTCCGATTGAAAGCTTCTCAAAAAACAAAAAAAAAGACTGCAATCCAGTCCGCTGTGCTCGGCTTGATCCCAAATTATTCCGCGATCAAGGAGAAACCACACAAAACAAATAACACATCCTCTAAGCTCCCTCCACCCAAAAGAGGTGCAGTTTGGCCCAAAGCAGACCCCTCTCCACTCCTCTGAGCTCATTCTGGGATTCTAGGTCCTCTTCCCCCATTCTGTTAACAGGACGGACGGCAGAGCCGGCCTCAGCATGTGCATGCAATCCAAGCAAAAGCCCGTTTCCTGCGTGAATGGGGAAACAGTGGGCCAGAGTATCCTCTGGCCAGTAGCGTCCCTCACTCACGCGTGGTGCTGAATTTGAATGGAGCCGTGATCCCGCGATGTACTGTAACTGCCCTTTGAGGACAACGGCTGAGACAAAAATATGTCATTTAATCAAGCAGAATTGCTATGCATTTAAAACGGAAAGGAAGCTGCGCTCAATGAAAGGGACTCTACTGTGAACTGTCCTAAATTCTCCCCTGCTTTCTTTGCTCAACGAGAGACAGGAAATGTCCTCTCTTTTCTCGCCGGTGGCTGCTTCTGATAACACATCCTACTTTAGTTGCAGCTGCAATCGAAGAGGCCTTTACTTGTCCAGAAAACAGTCTTGTAAATCAGAGCCTGAAAAGCCCAGTTATGTCGCGAGCTGCTTCCCCTCATTCAGAATTGTTCACTTCTATATGTTTTCAAGAGTTTCATCCAAGCGGGGGTTGGAGTCTCGAGGGCAGACCAGCCACCGTGACCCTTGGAGGCCAGTCTCTGTCATGCCCCACGTCCCCCCTCCCGGGGTTCTCTATGTACATATTTCCATCTTTACTTCAAGAGGCCATTTGCCAGGCTGACCCATGCGCTGGACTCTCACCCTCTTTTTTGCAACTCACCTCCGCTGCTGCGTGGGCCAAGCTGCCGTGCGCAGGTGCGGCCCTTGTAACTCGTTCCAGAGCATGTCCCCTCCAAAGTCCATTTTCTTATTCCTCTAGAACTTCTGATTCGTATTCCCTGCCCCAAATCTTAAGAAGAGTGGCTTCTGCCTCAGCAGCCTCCTGAAGCTGGAGGCATCCCCGCTCTTCCCGTTCTGAGAGCGCGCCAGGCTCACGGGTGGCGGGGCAGAACCATCCCGGCGGGCCGCAAGCCTACCATGTGCCATGATTTGTCATGTGTGGCTCCAGACCGCAGATGTGTTGGTCTTGGCCGAGTTCTCCAGAAGAGACGGCTCCATGAACTCCCTGGGTGTTTGCCCACTGTGACTTTCTGAAAAACCAAACAGCCATCCCCGTAAAGCATTCAATATGTCAACCAAGTAGCTGGCTGTTGGTTCCAATCATTTCCTCTTCGCCTCACCAAGACTGGTGGCGTGAATCTTCCCCAGTCGTTAACTCCCCAAGGGATGGAGGTTATCGAAGAGTCCAATTAACACTCTGACAGATCATTTAAAAATTCGGCATTGTTCATTCTCTTGGGTCTTATTATGAATATTGACAAAGCTGGAAGCAGTCTACAAATTGTCAAACAATGGTGGCAGAGGGGACTGCATGGGTGTGTAACATGATCACTGTTCTTGTGCTGTTAACTCCTTGCCTTGCCCTGTCAAATTCAAGTTTGGTTTCTGACAATTGATTACGGTTTGACGGGGCAATGACAATGGGTTGTTACGCAGAAAAATTTTTCCAAAACAAAACAAAATTGTAGCTTAATGTTCCTTTTGCCATGATTTTTATGATTTTAATTTCCATTTTGCTCTGAATTGTTTTTCTGTTTAATGTTCATGATTTATTTTCAACTTCTGTTCTGTTTTGCTAAGCACCGTGTGGTATGACTTGATGATGGCGTTATTCCGTTGGAAAAGTCTTGTTTCTTTTCTGACTCATGATGACGTCCCTTAACTTGGCCCAATCCGTGATCTCCTCGCTTCTTTTCATTTCCTGATGTGGGTGCCTTAAAGATGTCACATCCGTGTGTGCAAGCATCTCCCGGGATGCGAGAGTTTCATGGGTTTTGGCAAGGGCCTCTGGCGGGTGCTCTTTTCACTGGGTCACTTGTCTCATGGGAATGTGACATTTGTGTGCCCCAGCTTTAGGAGCTAAATATACTCTGGAATTGTTTCTAAAACATCACACATTTCCCCGCTAAGCAGAAAATGTTTCCCACTCACCAGCTTACTGAGGAGGAGTCAAGTGCCCCATGCCTTGTTTTTTCATTCTGGCTGCTAAGTAAGAGGCCAGCAAGCCCAGGAGCCCGCAGCTCTGCCCTGCAGATCTGCTGACCACCGCTGAGCTGGCCCCACTCTATGTCCCACGTCATCCTCCAAACAATCCTGCATTTCCAGAGTATGTTTGCTTGTCTTTTTCTTTCTTTTCCTTGCTGTTGTCTTAATCCTGTGCGTTCCTCACATTCTGTCAAAGCACCAATCCTCACCTTGCGATCTAACCCCTTCTGCTACCATTGTTCTCAGCCTCCCCCTTTCCAAATAATAGACCCAAGCCCTCTGCCCTTCTGTGGAATGTTCCAAGGCTCTTTCCTTCTACACTGTGAGTAGCCTTCTGACACTGTACGTGTACAGAGACAGCCATACTAAGAGGCCTGTAAGGCTCGCAGAAGCATTATCACCGAAAATGAAGTAATTTTCTCTCTCAGTAACTGGCCTTGCCCTTCATTACCCTACTGGCCTTGTCTAATGTCTCTTGTCCTTGCTGCTTTTCTTTAAAATTGCCTGATACCTTTCAAGCCCTAGATTCATTAGTAAAAACACAGCCAACTGCTCTGTTTTATCTCTGGGTCCCTAGATGTCTGGAGCCTCTAGAGCCAGCCCTTTAATCACCAAGTTGAGAAATTGGATGCAGCCCCGGCTACTTCTTTCTTGGTTATGCCACATTTAAAAATATATATTATTTATTCATCCTATAACTATTGAGGTGGTAATGAGTAGTTACAAAGGGGCTCTAATTACATATGAATAAGAAAGAAAATCCCCTTTATTTTTAGATCTGGCTCATCTCCCCACCCCCACCCCCTTCCCACAGCCAAAGAAATAAGAGGTTTCTTTTTTAGGTTAAGCAATACTGAAAATTAATAGCCACTCTGTGCTTCTTGTTTCTGACCAAAAGTAATAATACCATAAAACCTGATTTCCAAGAAGACTGAGAGATATGTGAGAAAATTGGCCATGTACTGATCTGCCAAGGGAGCCGTGTAGCGTAAATATAAAATGTAAATGCTGACCACTGCTGTTAGGACACAATACATGAGAGCAGGAGAAAATGCCCTACTTCAGACTTTATAGAGTTCTTGTGAGCTGTCAGAAAACAGATAAAATAGTCAATATATACAAAGATGTTCCCATTTGATTGGAAATGCCAGCGCTGTAGTATGCTTATATATTTTGGAAGATCTCTGAAGTGAGATACTATCAATTACATTTAGTCAAGAGGATATATACTCGCTGCACACAAGAAAGAGATGTGGAAACCGAATTTAAATTAGAGATCAGATGAATAATTTAAACTAAAACATACAGTAAATGTTGAATATATTTTAATCAATGTACAAGCCATTTGTGTAAGCAATTCCTACTTCAGGAAATAACATTACAGCAAGATTCATAAGGTCTGTCAAATATGGTGATGAGTATGTTGTCCATACTTCATCAACAATCCTGAACAGAATTTTCTAGATGATAGAGTTCATCAACGGTTCCTCCAACACCATGTGGCCTCCAGCAGTAGGGCCTCCCAGTGGGACAGGCAGCTCCTTATAGGACAGGATTTAGGTCGCTGGGGACATCACGGCCTTCAAGAATACTGAATCCTGTGTGGGAAGGTCATGTCCTTTTCATTTCTCTTTCGGCCTTCCTGGTTATGTCAAGGGAAGAGTCTCAGTTTGGTGCTTCATTGATAACAACTCCCTTAACTTGCCACTTCCCACTTTGAGAAGAATAAACAGGTTTGGGCTGGGGGCTTTGCCATGCAGCTGGAACCAACTGGAAATTACAGCGGTTTTGCTCTCAGTTATCTTTTTTATGGTAACCTTCTATCTATGAAAAGTGATGCTTTTACCCCCTTCTATAACGACAAAGTTTCTACTTCGAAGACATTTTAAAGGTAATTTAAATTAAATACTAAGTAAATGCGAATGCGTGAAGTCCAGGGGGATAAAATTACTAAGTAATATGATAGGTAAGACTCACAGGTGCCACTAAAACTGTAGTATTAGTAGCTGCATGACTAAAGTTTGGGTAACTCTGGCCTCAGGCAATTAGAGGAGTCCAGTGGGGATTCAACTACTATCAAAACATGGCTTCTGGCATTTGGAGGAGCAAGATTTACAACCACCATGCTTCTGTGGGCTGGGCTCCATGTGTTGCAATGTTATGATCTAGTGCACTTCTGACATCTCTTCCAACTACTGAGCTTTGTGACTGGGGATGAGAAGTTTGGTCAAGTAGGAGCTGAGAGTAAAACGGGTTTAGACTAAAAGGAAATTACTGATTCTAGTCTTACTAAGCATCTGGTGAGCAGCTTCTCCAGACCAGCTGTGGGCCCCCAAGGATACCTGTAGCTAGTGATTCCCCAAGTTGTGGCCGAGGGAGAGCTGAGCGTCAGCATTTCTGCTGCCCATCTGCTTTTCCATTACCGGTCTGGACTCGTGACACAGTGTTCCCCTGACCTGGCGGTAACCTACTCCTGACCCCTTTGTCCCTCTGATCCCATTCAAACTCTACCTATTCTGAGCCTCAAAACCTCAGAGCCAGGCTTTCCTCATTAACAAGCTGAGAAATCCAATTTGAGGTGAGCGTGGCCCCAATGGCACTAGCTTTTTAACAACCTCCGATCCTTAAAATCTAA